TGAAGGGGCACAGACTGTAAAAACACAAAAGAGCACATCACAGGAGAAAGAAGGCACTAAAGCTCTCAACAGTGCAGCTAACTGTTCTTAGCTGTCAAGAAGCACATGGTTTAAATATGTAATAGGGATGCACCAGTACAATACTTGTGTTGGTTATCTGCACCGATACTGAAAAATTAGCTAGATTGGATATTGGCTTCCAAATATATCTGGATTGAACACATGTTTGTAATAAGACTATTTCCTAGTTGTAGTTGGCCCAGAAAAATGATAGAATTTTCTAAAGTTATTATGTAGTTACTTGAAAAATAAATAACAGCTACATAACACATTTGGGTTGGTTTTGGCTTATTTTATTTTTGTTTTAAGCAAATAATTGTTGTTTTCAGTCTCTGCACTGGTATCTGCTCATATCAGGTATCAGCAGATATTTAAATCGGAAACAGTATCAGAACTGAAAAAGCTGGATCAGTGCATTCCTAAAATACGTTAATATAACAGTGGCTAATAGTGTTAATAAGGTGAGATGCTCCCATTTCAACTATGTAGGCTTGTTGGGTGAGAACCAGTTGGAAGTACCTGCTTTAGTTGAGACTATAACAGACAGATGTTTCTCTATCATGGTGCAACATTAAAGAGCACCATGATAGAGGGACTACCAGGACAGACATCACTCATGGTTTGGGGTCTTTTATATACAGGAGTCTTTAGTTATGGCATACAAACAGTATAATTCAGACTTTCTCCTGTATGAAGAATTATCATGTGTTTTTTTTTTTTTTTGACTCCCTCTGAGTTAAGTATCAGCCCACTGGGTTTAACAGGGCAAACATCTCACTCATCACCTTTTGTGCTTACGTTGACAGCTCTGCCCAGTCCACTGGCAGCATTGCGAATGTTTTTTCATTGAGACTTCTCTGCTTCTTAAAAACAAACAAGCATCCATGTACACTGATTTATTTAGGAAAGTTACATTTCCATTTAACAATTCTAATTCTTTGCTACTTGCTTATACTATATACTTTACAAATTATTGACCTATTTTTTTAACACAGTGATATTTTGCTGGAAAAACTGTCTGCTCACTCTGGAGACACTGACTCAGGCTGAAGGGTCTCCTACATCTGTTGCTGCATGTCTCTCAGCACTTTGGCAAAAACATGGAGCTGGCTTTAGCAGTAACCTAAGCAAGGTCCTCCAGGTCTCCAATACAACAAGGCCTTCCACATTATTACAAAAACATTGTATTTTGCTTGGTCAAAATCAATGTTAGTATTAAAGTAAATCGAATACTATGGTGTTATAAATGTTCAGCTTTGCAGTGTTTTCACGATTAAATGATTAAGTTGGGTTTTTTCCCCTTTAAAGCTACCATCTGTTAGTTTCTTCATTTTTTTTTTTTTACCAGTATATGGCAGAAATGTGAAACCTGTTCCCTCCTAACACTTCCCCTCACCTGGCCTTTGTTCAGACTCAACTGTGTTCTCTGGTCTTCTTCTGTCAGGCCAGAGCTGGCACACCATCAGAGAAGTAATGCAGATAGCATGTAGTGGTGTTATGTAAGAAATAATAGGGCTGGGTCTTCCAGGCTAATTACAAATGGTAGCTTTAGTGTTTTCCCTTAGTTCACACTGAAACAAATCTGCTGTCTAATGTGGACACGAACACACAGTTGGTAGCATGAGTCTGTCCTGTCTTATAGCTGTTACTGTCCTGGCTCTGCATGGTCTACACTGAAACAGGGATGTCTTTATTAAACCCTATGGTTGGTATTATACTACTCTAAAAGAAGAGATATTATCTCCAATGTTTTTAATAACGTTTGGGAGGCACATTATATCAGATTATACTGTTTAATTTAAAGGAAGAATATTGTGAGTGAGAGGTCTGACGTATTAAGATTATAAAAGCAAGCCACCACACCACTGTGCTTGGAGAAAGTGGTGGGATATAAAAGTGTAACATAGGCCACAGGGAAGAGGAGTGGACCCTCTGCTATCTGCTCTCTGTCTCTATCAGTTATATGAGTTTTTCGCATCAGTATCTTCATAGCTGAATGGACAAAAAGTGCCAAAAAAAAAGATTAAATACAAAATAATATGGCCTAAACCAGGTCTGAAGAAAACCATCAAGTGAAACAAAATCACAGTTTAAGAGAACTACCATTAGGCAGGTAAAGCCTTTGAGACCTCGGCTTCACAACCACAGGGACACATTATAGTGGATACAATCATTTTAAGGCGTATGCCTGCAAGGCTGTATAAAATGTACATTATATTACCTTGTATAGCTGCTTTTATTAACATTAACATAGCATCATCACACAACACGGCTCAGTGATCTGTGCAGCAGCATCAGGTCAATACCAGACTATGACTGTGCCTCTGAGTTTGATTATGATGAGACATGCCACTGACAATCCTATAACAATACTTTTATAGCTTTGGCCCTGACAGTCTGGAGCATGCTGGTCCTAAGTCTGGATAAATTTAAGATCACCTACAACATGCACTTAAATTACCCATATTACACTGTTTCCTGAGCTATGTAATAATGTTGTTTCCTCATCACAAACAGACCTGGAGTTGTGTTTTATTTCACACATGTTTAACACCTGCATATTTACACCAAGTTCTTCTCTCAAATGTAAAACTCTGTTCCACCTTGTGATGTTATGTGGTAGTACAGGAAATGCTCCACTGTGTTTTTAAGCTTTGTACACCTTCACTAGAATCATTTGGATGATTTCGGCCTTGACCATCTCTAGTGAACAAAAGGTAAAACTGTTTCCTGACATCACAATAAGGAAAACAGAGCATTTTGAGCTTTGGAGATGTAGACAGAGTAGAAAATACAGGATTACTCAAACATGCGTGAATGAAACAAAACACAATTCCAGGATGAGGTAACAATGTCCTAAAACAGCTTCAAGCTACAGGAGTACATTTTGTGTAATATAGTACCTTTAAATATATCAGTATCCAAATCACAACATTTTGAATTTTTTATTTGACTTCTTGTAGCAAAAAATAATGAAAGCATTATCATCAAGAGGTGACATAGCTTTTGTCCAAAATCTGTAAAAACGGCAAAGCTCAACCTTTGGTGCAAGATTTTTTTTGTAAAGGACAAACCAGTCGACACGAAGCAAAATACAAAAATGAGACACCTGCACCGATTTTGCCTGATTGGTTTAGCCTTTCTATGTGCTAATGTGCTGCTAATTGAGGGAATCATCCAGAGGGTTTTTAGATGCACTGAACTGTCAACAAGCTTATTCACATGTTAATCTTTTATATTTAGGCCTTGCCAACTAGTTTTGTCAAATGTCAGTGTCAGCTGTCCTGTCATTTTAGATTATGACCAAATATGGTTCCTCAAGGTGGAGTTTGGAATTTTTGATAGATTTTAGTTTATGTATGCTTTGTTAAGACAATCAAATATTTGAACAAAGTAATAACGTTCTGGTTAGATTAAGGATTCCAAATGCATGATAACTCTTTAATAATGAATCCATCAAGAGTGGATTTGACTGTTTAATGGATTTACCCTTAAACTGTGCATATTCAATCCATATGTTTTAGTTTTAGAATTGTTAACAGCACTATAATTATTATTATTATTATTATTATTATTATTTTTAAGACAAAAATAAGTCTAGCTGGTATGATCACAGACTTTTTGTGTTATATTTTAAAATTTTCAAAGTTTCAGTTCACACAAGAGTCAGCAAGGCTGCTCACATATGATTATCTGCAAAGAAATACTCAGAGTTTCTTAATTAATAATCATGTGATGGACTGTGCTTATCTCTGTGCTTTACAGGGACGAACAGAGGAGCAAGGCAGCTCCTCCTGAGGCAGCACTGGCTTAGGCCTGATTACTGTCACTGTGCAAAGAGGTACAGTGTAAACCTGATCATGCTCTGCTCTCACTCTCTGCTCTCAAGGGACTAAAGCTGCTGTACATGTGCCATGTACCATGTAACCACTGCAGACTTTTACAACAAGTCACCTAGTTTATGAAATGCTAAATTAAATAACATTAAATTAACACAACTATATAGATTAGATCTAAATTATTTGTTTTGGATAAACATAAAAAAGAAAATGTTGTGCGAATGGTTGTGTGTTAACTAGAAAGTTGGTGGCGGTGATAAATGGCTGCTTCTTCACAGGATATACAACTGTGGCTACGGTACTTATGCAGAGTAGATTTGGAGAATGAGTAGTTACTCTATGATTTCTCCTCTGCATAATCAAAGGTGCACTAACTGTTTTCTGTGTTTCCTGGAGGAATATTCCATCTGCTTGTCTCTTTAGAGATGTTATTTCTTTGTCTGGAATGTTTTGTATGGCAAGGCTTTTATTGCAAAAAAATAGAGAATTTATCCTGTGAGTGGACTTGGCTCTTAGCAGATTTGACCTTTAACTGGACTTGGGGGCACTAAATGTTTGCGTAAAGCATTAACATCTCTGTGGAGACAAGTAAGTGAATCCTCCACCAGAAAAGTTACATAATGCACCTTTAATGGGAGAGTATCTGCTAATCACAGTATAGTACAAACTCTTAGGCTTGGCTCAGCAGAGTGGCAACCTGCCACCAAACTCACATTCTTATTTTAGCTTGTGCCAATTTAATTAGAGCCCATTTGTGTTAAACTAAATATATCAAAGCTGTCCACTTGAGCCTGAAACTAAAAGCCAGAAAATTAGATGAGCTCCAGTTTGCACTTAAAATGACATTACAGTTTCCTTCAGCTGAGCCTTTGTCAGTGCATTAAAAGTATTAAGACAAGTCTTTGTCCATGAGGCTTGTTTGAAGCACAATTTGTCTTATTTCAGGATTACTATTCAAAATTATATGAAGCAAAAATTATATACACTTTATCTTATAGTAGATGTGACTTTAGAAGAATTTAGAAAGGTTAAATAAAAAACACAAATTAATAAAATAAATTCAAACAGATAGCTTCTTTTTTTTTTTGGAAGGACGTGGCATTGTGTTTTTTTTATTGTTTCAACAGGTACATAGTTTTATGTCACAGACGTACACCATATTGCCAACTCTTTGCAGTGTGACATGCCATTGGCAGGAAAACCTTTGGTCTCCTTGTCATTCATTTGAATGTAAAATCTATTCACATTTATGAAACACATATTTGGACTGAAGTGCTCATAGACACATATAATGTATTTTACAAAGTGTACATTTATAAACATGTTGATTTCACACACTCTTTAAGGCCAAAACACTAAACACAAAAATGACTCTTGACATAATCAGTGAAAGTCCTCCTTATTGAAGTGCCTTAAGTTCATTTGTCCATGATTGTATTCAACAATGAAGGGGTTCAAAGAGTATTGAACTTTTTAATAGTTTACTTTAAAGCATTACACAACTGATAAACATATATTTATGGCTTATGTTTATTCAAAATCCTTGGTTATACATATTATTTTAGTAATCCTTTATTGTTGTAATATTTTTTACAGTTACTACAGAGTGTTTATAAACAGTACTTCTTCATCATCATATTAGAATGAAAAGATGTCCATAATGTGCAGTTACTGACTAGACTTGTATTTACTATATTTCTATTTGAACTGGAACATTTGGAAAGTCTCCAGTGTTTTAAAATGAGCTCAATTTTTCTCTTTAACAAACTTCTCATGTATTACCAACAGTACTTCCCTGCAGCTGAGCAATTTCACCTGAAAATGAGCCATAAGAGAAAAACTATTAACATCAACAGAAGATATTTGAAGCTAAGAAAGAGAGAGAGAGAGAGAGAGAGAGATAAAGGTAGGGAGAGAGAGAGAAAGAGAGAAAGAGAGAGGTGGTGCCCTGTACCCTGAAGAGCTGCAGACTCTCCTGTCCGGCCTTGTATCTCTGCATCTCTCTCTCTCTGTGATATGGAAGCAGCACTAAAAACACATCTTGTAGCGGATATATCGTGAAAGGGCCTGACAACAGTAAATTGGCTATTTGCTCCCTTGAGCCTCTTCCTAGATTCACAATCGGTACAGTGCAGTAATTGCTTATGTTGCGTTTCTACACATAACTCACACTGAAGAATTTTGTTGTTTGTTGTTACTTTGGCCTATAGTTCACTTGTGGGTTAACAAAATAAGCTACTGTAAACTATGCTAAATCAGAGCAAACAGTTGTTGCTTGTACAGAAACTAATCTTACTTCCTGACTTCTCACTTCTCTACAACAAACTTCTGTAACTGCCCAAAGAAGGTTAAGTGGCGTTCTTCTGAGCATGTTGTAAAGCAGATTATCTTGCTCAGCCAATGAGCTGGAGATGAGAGGAAGAGCCAAAGGGGTGGCCCAAAGGCAGATGGGACATGAGTCATGTAGAAATCAAAAGTGCACACTCATGTACACAGAGTGTGGCTGTAGGCCATGTGCTCTTGTTAAAATGGACAAAGCAGACCAGAGCCTCTACGGTCCTTTCAGCACTTTCACTTCGGATGCTCTCAGCTGTAGCTGCATTTGGCACATCCATGTTTTTGAGACTGCAGTAAATGTCCACATATTGTACAGTTGTTTGTCAAATCCTTTCTCCTTCCATTTCATCCTGCAGCTGTGTCTTTGTTCTTGAGCAGCAGCTCATCCTTTGCGGCTTGTGTGGCACTGACGTTAGAAAGACATATTCACATACTGCCATAGCATTACTCTGTCAATAATAAATGCATATGTACAAATAGACCACATATGATTTTGATAAAAATCCACTCACACTTTGTGCCAGTTCAAGTGTTGACTGTTGGTGAGGGTTGCATTGGAAAGTGCATAACACTCAAACACTATGCAGCCCCACAATGGAAAAGATGATATAATTATAATACAGTGGTATGTGTGACATGACATTGCACAGTTTTACACAACAAAGTTAAATAGGAGTGTGCATTGTTTCCATTAGTGATCAGGCCTCTTCAAACGCATCAGCAGTCCCAGTGCAGCCCACACAGAGGCAGCAACATCAGTAGTAGTACTGGCAGAGGTCGCTCAGCTGCTCCATGCTGACTGCCCTTTGCTCCAGAGTCCATATTGGAGTCCTTCTCTGAATACGGAGGAATCACATTGAAATCTTTACTTCTTTGCTCTTGGTGTGCCTCCTCTTCCTCACTGTCGTCCATCTGAAATAAAAGGAGCACAGTGACTTTTTTTCCAATTAGCCAAAGAAGCGGAGTGTGGAGCGAAGTTGAGAAGGAAAAGTTTAACTACCTTAAAACACCAACTAAAGCTAATTCTTCTGTACAAAGGACATAGTACGTGAATGTGGTCACAAATGAACCCAATACTGGTGGCTTTGGAGAAAAGGACTCTCAGAAAACGCAGGGCAATAACCAACCAGGTCCTAAAAACAGATTTAACTCATGGAAGTCTAATGTGTTATAATGGTAAAGTCAGAAGCCCTGAATCAGCTTCTTTTGATGTCTGCCCATTGTGAATTGCATTAAGGTAAAGCTGCTTTTGTATTCTCTCACTGTGCTTAGTGGCTCAGAGGAGCTGTGGGAGAAGCAGCTCTTTTCCATACATAACAATTCAACAATGACTATATGAATGTTATCAATCAGCAGAAATGAATTAAATAGATGACCTATTCATGATGGCATGCACATATTACTATACTGAACACTGTCAGGATTATTCAGCTAATTGATAAATGTGATTAAGAGCTAAAATAAATGACCATGATCATCTCAAGAAAAAAAATCTAAAAAGTAAAGATAAATGAACAGTGCTTTCTATCTGTTTGTTTGTGTCACATTAACATAATAATTTTATGATTCAAAAAGTTTGACTTTATAAAGCTGGAAGGTTATGTATGTTTAAGATCAGGGACATAATGATATGCAAATCTTATAGTGTCATTTTATCACAGTGTTTATCTGGTATGATATTTACAATATTGTTGTGACTGAAAGTAGATTATACTGGGGCAGCAGTCTAAGCAGGGACTCCCTGGCCTCCCTCACCCCAGACACTTCCTCCACCTCATCCGGTGGGACCCCAAGTTGTTCCCAGACCAGCCGAGAGACATAGTCCCTCCAGCATGTCCTGGGACTTCTCCGGGGCCTTCTCCTGATGTGACGTGACCAGAACACCTGTCCGGGGCAGATGCCCAAGCTCTCTCAGCTGGCTCCTTTTGACGTTAAGGAGTAATGACTCCTGTGTGATTTAGCTCCTCACCCTATCTCTAAGGGAGCACCCAGCCACTCTCGGACAAAACTCATTTCGACCTCTTGTATCCGTGATCTTGTCCTTTCAGTCATTACCCAAAGCTAATGACCATCGATGAGGTTAGAACATAGATTGACTAGTAAATTGAGAGCTTTGCCTTTCCACTCAACTCCTTCTACATCACAACAGTCTGATACAGTGACCACATCACTGCAAACGCTGCACCGTTCCTCCTGTCAATTTCATGCTCCAACCTTCCCTCACTTGTGAACAAGACCCCAAGATACTTGAACTCCTCCACTTCAGTGCATGTTGCAGGTCCTGGTTCGATGAAGCCATCAGAACAACATCATCTGCAAACAAATGAAATCCTGGGGCTTCTGAACCGGACCCCCTCCGGCCCCTGACTGTGCCTAGAAATTCTGTCCATAAAAACAATGAACAGAACCGAAGATAAAGGGCAGCCCTGGCAGAGTCCAACAGGGAACAGGTCTGACTTTATGCTTTATGCTACAATTACTGTCATATTCCAAATGATTGACAAAATGTATATAATTGTATATAATTGTCATTTGTGTGTGTGTGTGTATGTGTATGTGTATATATATATACACATATATATATTCATCTTGGCTTCACTGAAACAGCTGAAAGGACTGTGTCCTATTAAGTTTTGTTCTCATTAGCATACTGCTTCTATGCCACAATGCAAAAAGAGCATTTTGATTAAAACTCTTCATGTTCTTATTTGGGACACTTTTACATTGCAATATGACAATTATTTTTACATCCCTATTTGAAATTTACAGGATAATCCAAAACTGCCTAACCTCTGCATAATGTGTAGACAACCACTGAGCATTACATTTCTAACAGCAAATCAAATCCCTGCTCTTGTCTTGCATTGGTCAGTCATAATTAAATGCTTCAGAGGATTTGAATCAGCAGTTACCCATAATGCAATTCCATAAAATCGGAACAACAGAAATGAAGCTGTCAGCGATGATCTGTCTTTTAATGTGACCCTACTCATCATTTAGGCTTTTAAACTGCTCTAGTTCTTTGACCTGAAAAAAGGCACGCACAACAATAACTAGATATTGGCATCTGCCCCAGAACAATCAAATATATTGGACACTTTCTTGACTTGTAGCCAGTTTCCTTCCCTGGACAGTTTGTGATGTCTGCTGAAAATACAAACAACTTGAATACACAGGCGAGCGTCAATCATGAATGGCCTTTATTATCAGATCATTTCAGTGGACACAGAGGCTGATGTCTAGCGGCTTATGGGGCTGTACTGTGGACGGAGTGAACTGTAGCTTAACAATACTACAGTAGCACAGAGCTTTCAGGAAGCAGCTGTCACCACGTTGCACTGAGGGCCCAGCTGTGGTGTTACAAGACAGGCTGTTTCCTTTGGCCACTAATGACCACCAAACACCCATTGACTAGATTTTATTTTTCTTTCTTTCTTCTTCCCAAATGTAAGGTATTGTCTCAGGTCTCTATGCTACACAGGTGAAACCTGACAAGAAAATTTTGGGACAAAAAAGCATAAAAAGCTGAATATCATACTGGATATTCAACATTTAAAGGTCCCATATTATGCAAAATTGACTCTTGTGAGTGTTGTGTTTTGTTTCATTCATATGTGAGTAACCCTGCATTATTAATCTCTCTTCATCTTCAAAGCTCAAAATGCTCTGTTTCAGCTTGTTTTCAAGTTTTCAAGTTTCAACACCTTTAGGTTGAAACCTTTTACATTTTGATCAGTAAAGATTGGCAACTCCAGGGCTGAAATTAACTAAATGTGGAGCACTTCCTGTATTATCATATGACATCACAAGGTGGATCAGAAGAACTCAGCCTAAATATGCAGGTTTTGTGTGTTTAACATGTGTGAATAAAATAAAACACATCTCCTGGTATGTTTTGATGAGGAAATAACATTATAACATAACTCACAAAATACCGTAATATGGGCCCTTTAAGCCACATTTCAGCAAATTACTGGTGAATTGCCACAATTTATTGTGATTCTCCACAAAAATATTAAGTTATATACACACACGCACACACACGCACACACACACACACGCACACACACACACACACACAAATGTATGTAAAACATCCATTAGTTGGATACTTTCCTGGGGCCACACTTATAAAACTTTACGTGGAATTCTTCCTAAAAGTGTGCACAGAGACAGACAAACCAGCACAAACTTCCTTAAACCTGCTGCTTACTTCTCATCCCCGTAAGCACAGATTGATGCCCGATGATTTGGACCGGGCAACATATTTCCACATCCTTTCCATCCAGGTCTTTTTGTAGCTCAAAATCACAAACTTAATGTGGAAACTCAGTAACAGTTTTGTATGTACACACGGTTTATAAATGAGACCCCGTTCTGGTGGAAATGTGGGAAAAGCTCTTTTTAGTTTAAACCTGTATTTTCAGAGTCACGCACTACAGCCCTTTTATAAACCATTTTTATAGCAGTAAGTTTATATTTGCATTGCTGCTGTTAATACCAGAGCATTGTCTCTTCAAACACTGTCATTTTTAAATAAACAACTGAATATCACATAAAAGCCCTGATACTGCAGAATAACACGCAGGTGAAGGAATAAAGCGGATTTAAGCTATTCTAAACCGCAGGGGGTGCAAACACGAATGCTACTGTAGCGCATTAATCTATAGAAAAAAAAGAAAAAAAAACACCTCCAGCTTATCTTCCAGCACAATGAGAACAGGAGCGGACCTGGGGGTGACAGAGGGCACTTACACTGTTGGATTCTGGGATGGTGTTGTGGCTGATGTGGAGTCTCTCTGGGTGCACGCGTTCAGAGGGGGGAGGGGCAGGTGCTGCAGTGTTCTCCTCAGAGGGAGGAGGAGGGGGGGCAGCTGAGACCCCCATAGAGCTGATCGCACTCCCTGAAACACAAGCAGCAGGGGTCAGGCTCATTAAGTTATTATTTATCCTCACGGCGTCATGGCAAATATCAGCAGTGATGGTTGGCAGATGAATGTCTGAAAACAAGTGATAGTGGGTGGTCAATTGTTGTATAGCGTTGTTTTGCGTAATAAACAGCATGCATTAATTAAATAAGATAAATGTGTAATATATGCAAAGTAGACTTTAAGGTCATTATGCAGAATCGACTTGTGAGCTTTTAGCTGTTGTGTTTTGTTTCATTCACACATGTCTGGGTAATCTGTCTATATCGCCAAAGTTCAAAATTCTCTGTTCCACCTTATGCAGTCAGGTAGTGGTTAACGGCTACCTTATTACCTTTTTCTTTAGCAGAAATTGGCAATTCCAGGCCTGAAATCGTTCAAATGATTCTAGAGAAAGCGTATGGAGTTTAAAAACACAGGAGCAATACCTGTATTACCACATGACATCACAAGGTGGAATAGAGTTTTCTGTTTGAGAGAAGAAGTCAGGTATGTTTAGATGAGCAAACAACATTATAACATAGATAGCATAACATGGGCTCTTTAAGGAGTCAAACATGTAATACAAATCGAAGACATAGATTTGTATATATGTGTTAAGAGTTTTATGAACGAGTATGGGTATTGAAAGCACTTTTTTGGATTGTCTCTTATATTATATTAGATAGATACTTTATTATCCCAAAGGGAATTTGTTAAAATTCTTGGCATTATAAGAAGGAGTGTATAGCTAAAAATAACAGCAAAATGTAGTATACTAAATAGAGAAACTTATTCTGGTATTGGAATATGCTTACATTCAGTTTTATTTGCACATATAAGTAAAAAAAATATATAATGACATTATAAAAGAGATGTTTCATTTACTTGTATTATATTATTATATTTACTTGTATTATATTAAAAATGCTAATATACTAAAACCTTTTCAGATCCAAAAAAACATTTTTGTCTCTTTCATTCAACGTTGCTTTAAAATCCATTACTAAATTGGTTTTCCTGATACATGTTCAGTTGTTTGTATATCTCTAAATGTTGTACTACTTTTTTGGCCATAGCTCAACATGAAGTCATTTTCTGTTTACCAGATACAGATGAAGGATTTATCGACTCTAGAGACTTGGAAAGGCGTAATCACAACTGGCACTGGGCCAAACACAAGATGGAATATCTCTGATTTATTTATTCAGAAAAAAAACCTAAACGGTCCACTGATTTGCACTTTCTATTAATTATAGTCTGCTTCATTTGAATTCTGTATTAATGCATATTATAAAACACTCAGAGCAGATCAGTTTAGTCTCACACTGATGGTATGACAGCAGGAAGGTAGCGCTTCCCTCGTCACTGTCACACAGGGACACTGAGCCTGCCACTCCAATTACTGTGGATGCATGGAAATGATCAGGGCTTTGGCACTGTCTCTGCTGATTCTCATGTCTGGGTGAGCAAAGCCATAAGTTTTAATCACCATGGTTTTCTTAGTCTCATCTTGGATCTTGGAAGGGTTTTGAATCTAAACAAACCAGAGGTATCTTTGTACTTTCATTTGGAATGTATAGATTATATTAGCAAATAAATAATGTGTGGATATTGATTTTAATTAAATAAATGAGTGAGTGACTAAAAAAATAAAAATAAATTATTTAAAGATGTGATTGTAACCTTTGTAGTGGGGGCTCTGCAACCTTTTTGTTTCCAAGCATGTTCCACAGTATGGCATTAGGCTTGTCTATCTTGCATTTACTGAATTATAGGTGGTCTCTCCACAGAACTTACTTGTCACTTGGTCTGGTGGCATTACCTGCTTGTCTCCATGGAGATAGATAGGTTTAATGCCATACTGTGAAACATTTCAGGCAATGCAATGGCATCACCATGGAGACAATCAGGTGTTGACCTTCCTAAAATGAAAGGTGACCTAGTCATTGTAAGTTGCTAGTCATGCCTACAATACGTATGTTTATTATATGTAGCTTTTACCATTCACTCATTTTCATACCTTCAGTCCGGTCAGTCCAATATGTATTTTATGTAACTTTTTGTACTTACGTAGACAGATGTTGGAGGAGAAGAGGGTGAGGATGCGCTGACAGGCCTGCCACTCGTTCCCACTGCCCTCGCATGAGCACCATTGGGACACCTCTGTGCTGCTGTTGCTCACATAGTTTGGAGTCATAATAGTACCTAAGCAAAACCAAAACCACTGGATATTACAAGGGCTGCTATAGGAAAACTTAACGTGATTTTTCCAGTTGCCACAATTTTTTCATTTCCAACAACACCTGTGCAGAGATAAGGTATAACAATATTAGATCCTCGGGGAGGCACTGTGTCCACTCGTCAGGCGCTTGATATTAATAATTACAGTTGCACAATATTACACTTTTCTAAGGAAACAAAAAGAAATCATGACTTCCGGGTCATTTGCTGGAAATAGCAAATCGAGTTTTAAAAGTGGAGGCAACTAAATTTGAGACTTGCCAACTCAGTGTTTATTAAAGTCAACAGAAGTATTGGCGCGATCAAATCCAAGCTGTGAAAAAGTTTCTTCTTTGATTTGTTGTATTTTCTCTTTTGAAACTCACCAATGAGTCCAGCATAGGCCTTGAGGCACATGGCTCTGCTTTCGCGGACACATCCAGAGGGGGACTGGGACGAGGGCTGGCAGTTTTGCTGGAAATCTGCAAAACGTGATCTAAAAAATGCAAAACAAACTACCATGAAAGGCAACGTTTTTAATGTGTGGCAAATGATGGTCTGAGTTTTGAAGTTGCTTTTTCATTGTGGAACAAAAAAACACCCACTAAAGTGCAAAGCAAAACACACATGGAGGCAGCAGCACAAATGACTAACTGTGCTGTATATGCCAGGACAGTACCTGAACAACTAACATGTACGATCTCTGATTTCTCTGACATTGACAGTTACAGGCCTTTAGTTTAGTTTAAAACTGGTACTTTAATAAATTTAACACATTCTGTATGATGTTTGTAAACACATCCTCTTTTATTTATTACATAAAAAAATTGGCTTTCAACAAAGTCTTCAAACCCCTAACAAGCTGAGTACAAATAACATTTAAGATTTGTTTTTGTGGCTGATTTGAATTTACTTTGAAAGTATTATTTACCGAGTGCTAGAGATATTCTTCTTTATTCCTTCTGAAGATTCTGAGAACAAAACTATGTAAGGAGCAGAAGCTCTGCCTAGCTCTTGGGGCTTCATGTGGTGTACAAAGGTCCTGAGTCGTACCTGCACAGCTCGTCTTTGGTGCAGTATGTGTGCAGGCTCAGACAGTTGGGTTTGCCCACTCTCTCTTCTCCCCTAGTGGTCTCCTCATAGGAACATGAGGGGACGATGGTTTTGCGTCTCCTCTCGCCGCACAAAGTGTCTGAGCAGGGGCAGAAGAGCAGAGCGAAGCTGTACTCTTCGGGGACACGCTCCAGGAAGCGGCGCAGGGCTTTGTGGCATTTCTGTCGGTTACAGCTGCTGTCGGACTGGCCTGCTCTCTTTGTGCAGGCCACCACATACTCTGAGCGCAGAGAGCCACACTTCTCATACAGCCCACAGTCCTGCGCTGCCTTCAGACACTGGTTCTGTCCATCCACTGACAGAGACGAGGCTGTGAAGAAGCGCCAGGGTCAGAAATCATTCATGTGGGAGGAGAAACAGTGTGAGAGCAGCTGTACCTGACATTATAGAGGCCATTTGAGACATCTCAATGTTTCTCACCAGGTTGATCTTCAATTCTTCATAAGGGGATATGTCATACTCTTCATATGCTGAAACAAGAAACATTCCACTTTGAAACATATAGCTGAAAATCTCTGTGGCCACAAATACCAGAAACTGTGTGCACCTGCAAACCGGACCATCCAGTAGACCTTCAGACAGTGCTCCTCCCTTCTGGAGCCCCGCTGACACTTGCACACCTGCAGGGGGCGATAATACTGCAGAGCATGCTGGGCCTCCAGGCACTCAAGCCGGGCGTCTGACCCGAGCGGGGACACGGCCTCCTCAGCTGCACAGTACTCCAGCAGCCGGTACTGTCCCATACAGGACGGATCCTGGACACAGCCCTGCTCTGCCAAAACACAGTCCAGAGAGGCAGACACCAGAGCACCACCTACACGAAAGAGGTCACATGATCAGAGGAGGTCACGTGATCAGAGAAGGTCACATGATCAGAGGAGGTCATGTGATCAGAGGAGGTCACATGATCAGAGGAGGTCATGTGGTTAGAGGAAGTCACATGGTCAGAGTAAGGGAACAAGAGCAGCTCCACCATTATAGGTGCAGGGCTGGACCAACAAAAAATGATCAGGTCCGGTTTTCTCTTTGAATGATGTCTCACTTTTCTTTTGTTCTGAATATTTCAGTAGAGGTTCTCAGAGCTCCTGTGTCCTGAGCTCATGCCTGAATAGAAAATGCTCTGGACTCAGGCTCCTGGTCTGGAGGCTCATAAAACTGAATAATCTTGTGCACCAAAATGCACCGTGCCAAATGCTATATCATCAGCAGCAACTGTACTTCACATAAAATACAGTATTTTTCAATCTTCTAGAAACACAGAAGGGTCTATAATATTTTGACATAATCTCCTGTATCCAGCACACATATGTTTACATTCATCTTTATGATTACATGAAATAGTCATTTAGCCCAACTGTGGTTCAGCTTATTCATTCACTAAAATCAATGGCAATAAATTCCAATAAACACCAGATAAAAAAACTGTTCCAATCTAACACCAGGTGCCCTGTTCAGTGAGCAGTTAAAAATACACAGAGAAAGAGAGAGAGCAGTATGATTGGCAGTGTTTTGTGGAGAATAGGAGGAAGCAGGGACCACAACTAATTTTTCATCCTCATGATTACTGTTGAGATGCACAATGCTGGCAGGCCCGAGAGAGAAATGAACGCCTTTTCACAAAAATACATTTTTTATCATCACAAAATTAATTTTCAAATGTGACACAATTGTCCCCACAAGTTACACTTGAGGCAGTGATTTGAGCCTGGCGAGAAAATGCCGGATTTTGTATTTTGTGCGCATATTTCCACAGATATGTCACATAGAGAGCATTATTCATTCATAGTAGTAATAACAGAGTAGAGATTGACTTCATGTACGTCCAGTTAATCTCCCTGTACCTCCTCTAGCCCTTGTCCTGTGGGTGTGTATGCCTGTACTTGATGGTCCACTGTAACAATGCTGATAATCCACATAAAAGAGATTATACTCAAACACACATACTTTTGTGTTTGATTGGCCGCTCTTCGATTAAGCTCCTGCTGACTGGCGTCAAAAGCAAAGCCTAAAATCAAATTCTGCTGCAGCATGTTTCGCAATTTCAGACACCACATGAGGTCCACGTCTGCTCTGGCACGAGCCCACAATGAGCACAGGCTACGCTCCAGCGGCACCACAGGAACAGAGCCAGCTCCGCCTCTGTACGTAGTGTGTATGCCATACACTTACATACTACATGCACTGACCACACTACTATTACCTCTTCATTATGCAGTATTATGTATGGAAGTGACTTTTTTTTTACTAAAAACCAAACAGGACATACATCTATAGCAGATATACATACATACATTTATATATTTTTTCTCCAGTGAGCTACCTTTATGAAACAAAAATACCAGAGAGCTTCCAATTTCAGCAATAAGTAAGTAAGTGAGTAAGTATAAGAGCTACAGCAAGCCTTAGATGAGGAACAGCTCAATGCTTATAAAACATAAACCACTATTCATTTATCGGTGCACCAAGTTGGGCATCAAAATGATTTATTTACAATGATGATTAATCAAATTTTACTTATTATGAACAATACATTGAATTCTGAAACACCTTGGCAAGCTACTTGGAAGGGGATGGAGAGCTACTGGTAGCTCCCGAGCTACAAGTTGGAGACCCCTGATCTATAGGGTCATAAATTTAAGGAACTCATATTAACAGACCCAAGTATAATTTAATATACCAATATTAAAAACCTAATATGAATGCACTCTTTGTCCTTAAAGATACTTTCAAGTTGGAAAAGGTGTTTATTGTTGCATTGGTGAACAGAAAAGATTCAGGTATACCAGTGGGATAATGGGGGATACTTGGATATTAAACAATTGTGTTATTCTTTTTTAGTAATATATAATCACAGAAACATGTGCTTGTTAGTATTTTATTTGGTGCAGTGTTTCAGAAGAAGAGTGAATGTAACAATACAAAGTGTTTGTTTAAGTTAAAGTTAGCAGTAACAGCTCCATCAACAGTAGCAGTGCCATACCTTACGGACTTAACATTAGTCTGACTAATGCTTTAACCAAGTGCAGCAGACTGAGGATGGTGTTCTCTATACGAGAGTGATAATCAGAGTAGTACATTTATATGAAAGGGGGACCCATGTGACGCTTCAGCCCCTGGCCCCCAAATTTCTGTCACTGTCTTGGTGGTAATAGCTCCTACAAGCGCTCAGAGTTGAAGGGTCTGCTGGGTTTTATTTCGGTGCCTGTAACACGGGAGTGGGGCAGCAGAGCATGCAGCCTGTTGGCCAGTCATTTGAGTTGAGAGGACATTTGTGATGGCAGAGTGGTGTAAGCCCGATATGTGAAATGCATTCAGAGGGATGAGCACAGAAGGAGAGGAAGTCACAGACCCCACAAGGAAATGACAGGGAAAGTGAAAGTGCTGAAGCAAATTGTCACGGCCCATCTCTGAACCCATTCTTCTGTTTCAAAATGGCAGCAGGACATAAATCACAATGCCCCATGATGACTTGCGGTTTGTTTGAGTTTCATCTTGTAAATCAGGGCTGCAATGACCCATTAATATTGACCATATAGTGCACCATATATTACAAGATTTCTTTGTATGTACATTAATCAATGTAACATGATGCATATTAGGGTTGAGGAGCCCAACTTACACTGTTTAGATCAAGCCTGCAGTGACCCACAGTTGCAGTTGTAGTAATAGTAATTTTACAGACAGGTTTTTCTTATTTACAAACATGGTCTTTGATGACATAGAAATGATACATAGAACAGGCTAGGGTTGTCACAATAATGAAACTTACACTACAGAAATGCTCAAGGTTAAATACAGATTTAATTAAAACAACAGTAACATTTGTTTCAATTACAAAAATATCTGACTGTTTTAAAGTGTTAAGAAATTTTTGAAATATTCCAGTTTTGTCTTAGATTATTTAGACATTCATAATGGGTATCTAGTTTTAATAATGTCCAGTGCTATCTTTGACCTCATCCTCTCTGCAACTAATGTCCCCATTTGCTCAATAATAATCCTATTCTGCAGTTTTAGCACCACTACAGTCCACAAACTAATAAATCGGTTACATTTTTGGGAATATCAGTCTAACCTAAATATTTTTCCATATGTTTTGCCAACTCAATAAAGTTGTGTTTAGGAGAGAAGTGTTTAAGTAAGCCCAGCACAGGGACTCAAGCTACATTCAAATGTATAAAAAGTCATATGAACGGTCAGCTAACATGATCATTTAAAATCAAGCACAACCACTTACATTTTTTAATTGGGCTGTTATTATTTAAGGTATAAAGGAAAAAGAGAAGTGTCCAAGAATGAGGCAGTAGTTAAATTCACTGTCCTTCTTTCCTTCTTGTATACTCAGCATTTTAACTTTCATCCAATCAGCTGAAAGTCCCACGATCATTAACATTTTACATAAGAAGCACGCTCAATCTGACTGTGAAAATGCAGAGGAAGAATTTTTAGACCCATTCCCCCCAGGCCACATAAGCTCTGATCCTTTACATGTATTTCTTAGGACCTAGTCTAATATAACCATATTTATTTCCACCAACCTATAAAAGATGATTGATGAAAATTTTAATAAATTAATCAAAATAGTCACCAATATGCCTTTATTAAATAATGCAGTGCAGTGTGACTGCTGGGTGCCGTTCATGCCCTGTGGTTGCTGTGTGCTTTTTACCCAGAGTGACAATGACTACAGACATATTTTCAGAAAGGACACAGTTGCTGGATCTGAAAAGGTAACTCCGAACAAACCAAAAAATCTTTTGTCATTCCTGACTTTGCCCTCTCTTTATCATACAATGTTTCAGCCAAACCTGTGATTTTCCTGGAGCCTATAACACAGAATACAATAGGTGCCCTGAGAACTTCTGTTCTGCAGGTGTGGAAAACACGACTGGAGCTCAAAACCATCTCAAATTGCTTTAAAAGCAATTTTGCAAGATAGCCTGACCGAAAATCAGTGTGCTACAAAACTATGAAGCGCTGGCTTAACCCCCTAGCAGTGTCCAGGCATGTGGCTGCCCTCGCATTATTGAGGAGAGAAGCTGCTAGGTGCCACCTCCATAGGCAACAGTTTAAATGCAAATAGAGTGTATGACATACTATATAACACAAAAACAAACTATGCTATCATTAAAAACATAGAAAGTAGAAGTCTGTCATCTCCACTTGCAAAAGACAGGATGCATGAAGTTATAAAACAACACTTTTCATTTACATAACTTTATTCTCTTGTTTTTAGCATTTGTTTGTGACAATATAATTTTCCTCCAATCAGCTTTCAGTGGTCAAACATCTGTGTCCACCTAACCCTGGCTTTTTTTTCACACCAACTAACTTCACTATCTCTATCCACACTTTAGTTCATAGTTGAAAGTTTTAGACTAGTCAATCAATGATCTGAAAGAACTTTGTACATATCCATCTGATACTCAACATGTTCCACCAGGCTTTACTCTCGCTCTCCTGGTAAAACATAGTTACATCAGGTGTCTGCTTCTCACTGCTGCAGTAAATATTTCAGACTTTTGCTTCTCCTCCTCATACTACAATGTCCTGAATAATACTGTTAGCACACATATAAACCCTGGATAAACACTGAAGCCCAAAGCACACGCCAGAACAAAATAAAATAGATTGCTTGAGACAATAGCCAAAAGACTGCTGCATTTGCTAAGGTGTCAATCAGAAAAAACATAATCTTCAATTTTATGGAGGACATTTTAATTAACATCCACGCTTTAAACATCAAATATGTGAAATAATTGCATGTTCAGAAGGCATATTTTACGTCTTCTTTATCGGAGTAATGTCTAATGGGCGGAGTGCCAGTTTAATCTTTGTGGGCTGTCGTCCTAAACGAAACTGAATTAGGAACAGTACATGAAGACAATGGCTCAGCAGAAATGAGAGAGAGGGAGAGAGAGGTCTGGTGGCAAGATAAGGAAGACTAGAGCAACCTGGGATTTTGAGGTTGGAGTGCTCCCGTAATCCTATACACACACAAGATCAGACAATGAAGCCCATATGTAAGATTGTCTTGTGTACTGAAATATTTGTACCAATAAGCATTCACTTCTTCAACATGTGCAGTATATGCAGTAATATTTGGACCTCACAAGTCAGCCTCCACATGTGCATCACCTGTTGCCGATTCACTGCTGTTTCTTCCATGGATCACCTCCAAAAAATAATGACCACTGCAGACCAAGAACGGAATACAAGAGTTATAATGCAGTTTTAGAAATATTATGATTCAATTGTCCTGCTAGCCATCACAAATTGGCTCTTGTTATGCAGTTGTTATTTGTTCAAGTTTCCTCCTCCTATGAAAATGTCCTTTAAAAAGTAAAGTTAACTTGAGGGTAGGGAATCTGCCAAACAAAGGCCAATAACATAGCAATATTTAAGAGCCAAGACCACAGTTTTGATTGTTGGTGTTTAATTTGAGCTTTACGCTGTCTTCAAGAGGTAACTACAACCGTCTGCCTCTTGTAGGAGTTTACACTTCACTGTGATTGGGTCAATCCACCTGACACACACTCAGAGCATGGCAGAGGCTGGTCAATATGAGGAGTGGTTACAACAGAGAAACGCTGACTCACTGTATGACAATGGCTCCAAAATAGCAGGGATCAGATCATATTTATTTTGTATTGATATGATTATTATTATCATTATCATTATCATTATTATTATTATTATTAGTAGTAGTAGTAGTAGTAGTAGTAGTAGTAGTAGTAGTAGTAGTAGTAGTACACCACTTTCTTACTAAGCAATGTGGGCGATGTGTCTTGCCTAAGGACACCACACCGCTGGTCCCCCAAGTGGGCTCCCATCCAGCACTAACCAGGCCCAGCCAGAGGTTTGGTCATATTGTTATTCACTTGCCAGTTGTCATAATGTTTTGTTTTATTAATGGGAAACTTTTTGAAAACTAACAAGGCAGCTACATTATCACAAAACAAAATGACGAAAACATGTTGTATGATTTGGTGATTTGTCCTGTGGCATGTCATTCCAGTTGGAGTGCACTGTTGAACAACACATCAGTATATTTATATGCTTTGATATTCAGTTAAAATTGTCCATCTAAATTTCAATGTATTCTTTCAGTGTTAGATCTGCTCTATTTGCCAAATTAAGACTGGTTCTGGGCGGATGACATCTCAGGAATAATGCATGAGATCTTGAAAGGCACTGCACTATTGCTAAAGCTACATAAATCAATGCAAAGCTGCAATTGTTGGGCTATATTAAACACACCTACGATCTTCTGTTATGGATTATTCATGTAGAAAAGAATAGTGCAATAGTGGTGCTATTATTTCACTTGATCAAGATAATCAACTTATTTTGGGCACATGCTCTACTTAATAACATAACCAGCCATAACCATAACTTTATTACCACTGATATTTGAAGTGAGTACTTGTACTGGTGTCTGTTTGTGGGTGGAGGATAGGGCTGTAAGATTAATCGCAATAGAATTGAAATTGCAATTTGAATGGAGGCAATTAAGAAAGATTGCAAAGTATCATAATTTCTTCCACAAAAAAATAAATATCCCATTTTATTATCCATACAAACTGTTAACACTGTAGTTTAGATCTGTACAATCTTCTGAAATGAGAGACTTGTATTAGTTTGTGAGTTCATATTTGAGTCTATTTGTCTTTTATTCCGGACACATTTAAAATCTGAACTTTAAACAGAATCCTATTATCAAAACATAAATTGCAATGCTTGTCAGAAAAATCGCAATTAGATATTTTCCAAATCGTTAAGCCCTATATTGGAAAACGCAAAATGTAATAATGATGATGATGATGATGCAAGGGTATATTTCAGTGTCTATCAAAAGTTTTCTAAGAAACTTGTCTAATTTTTTTCCTGTAAGATCCAGAAAAGGATTCTATAATATACACATTTTAAAGACAGGGTAACTGAAAAACAAAAAAACATCCATGCTTTGAGTCAGGTGCACTAACCACTATCCCACCAATAAGATGTAAATGAACAATGATATAATCTAGACTAGAGGGAACAAAATCTAGTCATGTTTGAACTGACCTCTTCTCCAGCTATGATATAGTCAAAATATAAGTATGAAAGTGTCACTGAAAAAAACTGCTTGGCTAAAATTTATAGTAAAATGTGAAGAAGAAATAAATAAACCTTCTAAGTGCATCACAGGTTGTTGCATGTAGGTCTGCATATGAGGTGATGTGCTAATGTTATTCCTGCTCTGTGCAATCATTTAATATCAGCAGGTGCAACCTTTATAAGAAAAAGCATTATGTAAACACATAAGTGAACTTTAACCTTTGGGGAATCCCCACTGACAGACTGTGGGCAGGCCCTGTCAGTCACTCTCTCCCACTGTTATTGTTTAAGTCATCATCTCATACAAGGTCAGGCATATTAGATGGTAAAAATAACAGGCTTCAAATAGAACAGTGTCCATGGGCTATTTACACAGGCAGCTATAGGAGAAAATGTATCATCTGTGCATATTACACCTCCAGCTTTTCTTAATGATGATTATAACAGATTAAAACAAGCCATTTTTTTGCAGTTAGGCGTAATGTCAGAGAATCATGACAATCAGCATAATAAGCGCTCCTAATGGTGTGCGATTGGGTGAAATAGAGCTTGAAAACGATTGGCTGTCATGCTGTGCCTCCACCTGTGAGCGTGTCAGCTGTTTGACACAGCATGATGAACTATGGCTGCTTCTGATGCTCACAAGAACGCATTCATCATTTTGGGATACTAATCTGTAACGGACAGGTCTACCTGACTGAGTACACTTAGCTCACCTGAATAAAAACAAGACAGCTCTTTCAGAAATGTTTGAATTAAAGAAACTATTCTGTTTTACGGCTTGTCAATATTCCAAACATAAAAAAAGAGTTCATGCCAAAACATGCCATAAATTCACTTTGTTCTTTTCCTCCGCTTTTTCCTATCAAAGGCCTAGTGTATTTGCATTCCAGATTACAATTTTAACTATAGTGAAGAGAGAGAGAAACAGAACATGCCAATGTGCTGTGGGAAATTACTCCAGTGCTCATTTCATAAAAAGCTGCCTAATGTGATTAGCCACTCTAATCAACATTATAAAATGTACAAGTAGACTACTTTCATAACTAACCAATGATCTCACCACTTGTAGATGATGTAAACTTCGGAGCTGGATAATGTATTTGCATACACTCAAACAAACTTCACTTTCTTTGAAAGAAGTCTGATAATTAAACTATTTATCAGGCCAGACTAATGCTGGCAGGGCTACAGGACAACTTGACTTATAGCCACAAATATGCACATTACTATCATTTTTTGGGTAACTGTACTAATTTGAGTAGATCTTTTAAACCTGTACTAGTTACTGAGTATACAATAAACTATTGTAATTAGTTACATTCAAAATAATACAGCATGTTTTTTTTGCTCCTTTCTATGGCCTACATTAAGAGATAGCAGCACTACATCACCTTTAGATCATTGTGGTTTAAAACAACTCAGCATTAAGCAGTTATTTTTTAAGTTTTGTATATATAATGATGAATAAATGATAAATATTCAAAATATACTAAAATAACATAAAATGTAACTAGTAACTGGTACTTGGAGAGGTATTTTTCTTGAGTACTTTTAACTTTTACTTGATTACGTTTTAATCATGGAACGTTCCTCCACTGCCAGTAATGGAATGGGCACAAACGTAAAATTTCATATTTTTAGTCATAGCAGTAGCCTAAAAGGTGATTTCTTCATTTGGTACTGGGGTACTAGAGATCTTACCCTCACAGAAGATGTAGAGCAGTCCAATGATCATAATGCAATCCTGCGCTGTCATTGGGGAGTTTGAAGAGGTAAAGTCGCGTGCAGCTCACTGACCCGTCCACATCCAGTCCACTGTATTTCGCCTCCTCCGGTAAGGGCACAAAGTTAACCAAACTGAATCCTGCGCATATCTAGGCCCACCACAAATTGTCGCGATTTTTCTCGTCCCATTAATATTCTAATAACGTACATTTAGAAAGACGAGTTTGGCTCCACTCTCGTCGGCCAGTCTGACCGTTGTGAGTATTTGGAGTTGGTGTCACCGCAGCTCCACAGTTGTCCAGTCAGAGCTGAGATCAGAGCGCGCGCACAGTGCGGCGCGTCCTGTTACGCGCGCCACATGATTGGCCAGAGCGCAAAGCTGTGATCGTGACAATCCATTCTTTTCTAAAATAAATGAAGAAATAATTACTTAAAATTTTGTTTTAAGTAATTATACTTAAATACTTAAATTATACCCCCCCCCAGAAAAGCGCTTTTGGTGTTATTTGAAGTGGAGGTTGATGAGAAGATTTGCTAATGAAAACAGCGGCATGTGAAAGTTTTATCTTGTGTATTTTGGAAGACAAGAGCGAGGGCAGTGAACTCATTTACGCTTCAGCGGCTGTTAGAACTAGTTAAATACATTCTCAGGCTATGTTTTGTTTTATCCAATGGAGGGGTATTCTTGGGAAACGCTGCAGCGCCGTCTTGTGGTCAGCACTGAAACGACAACTAGGCCTACTTTTAGTAAACGCAAAGAAACTCAGACAGTTCACCTGCTTTTGATGTACGGTCTATACCTTTTAAATGCTCTTGACCAAAAACAACCGTGGGTGAAACAACAGTGAATACTGCCCTGTAACTGTAGCCTACAACTTAATAACATCTGGTGGACTTCCCCCAAACCTAGTGAAATGATTAAATTTCCCCCTGGTGGTCAGAGTTGAATTAACATTTTGAAAATAGTGCTCCATTCAGATTTATGACAGATACATTTATCTTTACATAATTTATACTGATCGTTTAAATCTGTATAAAATATGGGGATACAATGAACATTTGAGAGTTAATTTTCTTTCCTAATTACTCATGTCATGAGTTAGCAGAGAACCTAGTTTTAATCTGTTGTCCATGTATGATGTACTGAATTGGCACCCTGAAAACTACAATGATATCACTGAGTGGTATGTTGGTAACAAACATGACAATCTGAGATATTGAAATTAGAATACTTGACTTTTTTTTTTAAGTTGTAACAATACATTGGATAAATCAAAGTAATTGTATAACTTTATAGGACATATGTCAGCAGTAGTTTTCTACAGAAAATTTTTATTCTAATGACAAACCAACATGCCTTGTAGCACACACTATACTGTAACCACCCACTGTGGTTTTTATATATAAACTAGAAAAGCACTCAGAGAGCGCAGACCTCCGCCAAGGACTACCCCCCATTTTTTATATAAATTGCGATAAAATCACTCTTCTGGATCAGATCCGGATCAGCCTTTGGAATATGAAAGAGGATCTCATTGTCCATCCCTGAGTCAAATTTCATGGGGTTTGGTCAATAATTAACCGAGATATTGAGAAACAAAATTTTTGGCCCCATTTAACACAATGTTAACTAAAATTTCAAAGTGATCCAGAATCCAGGATTTCTTCCGGATCACCCCCAAAATGAAATCAGTTCTTCCTTTTCACATTTCCAACAAATCCTGAAAATTTCATCAAAATCGGTCCATAACTTTTTGAGTTATGTTGCTAACAGACAAACAAACAAACAGACAAACGCCGGCAAAAACATAACCTATTTGGCGGAGGTAATAATATCAGAGCAGAGTGTTGGAGTGGTGCATGAATACATCAGTGGTGGAAGAAGTACTCAAGTTTGTTACTCAAGTAAAAGTACAAATAAGTAAAAGTATCATGTGAAAAAATCTACCGAAATAAATGTACCTAAAATGTAATGAGTAAAAAGTAAAAGTAGTTTGATTAAGCTTCAAATTTTCTGAGCTATTTTATTTTTATTTATTTATTGTATATTTTTGTTTGCTCAAACTATGAATGTGTTAAATATAAATGCACATTCTCAAAGGTCTCAAATAATAATAAAATAAATATACATTTACTTTTTAGTCCTGTTCAAGAATGTAGTGGAGTAATAAGTAAAGATACCTGCTCTCAAATGTAGTGAAGCAGAAGTAAAACATATCCACTCCAAAAAAAGTAACTTACAAACCCTAAACTTTACTACTTTTACTTTGTTACATTCTACCACTGGAATATATAAATTCATTATGTATTCTTTATATCTTGCATCATAAATATGACACTTGCATTATGAGCACTGACTCTAAAGGCGTAATTTATGTGTTGCACTCTAGGCCCAGGTCTGTGGAGGTGACTCATGTTTACAAATAAATGGTGAAAGCTGGTTGGTTTACAGTCCCTAAGAGAAAATGCAAATATTTCTTTGTTTACACCCGTTTTGTCCTTAACAGCGGGGTTCCAGGAGGTGGTCTACCATGCAAAGTGAGAGCATTGTGTTCCAGTTTCACCAGTCTGTTGTTATGAGAAACACATTAGAGTGAGCTTCTTTAAAAAAAGCACCCTTTTGTTTCCAGTGAATGATAGGATAGGCCTATATGTCAGCAGGAGTCTGAGTGGGTGGGTGTCAACTAATTAAACATATTTCAATCTGTAGATTAGGGAATTTCAGTTGTAATGTTTTATGTTACTGAAATAGACCATGTGTCTTTTTGCCCTTTTTGTAAACATTACTATAAACCAGTGGTTCACAACCTTTTTCTCCCAGCTGGGTACTTTTGTGACCTTAACATCTTCCTCTATGTACTGATACTGTTTTTATGAGAAAAAACAACAACTTTCTAGTTAATAAAACTGTTATTGGACAGTAATACTTATAATATACTTCATAGAACCCATAAAAAAATAACACAATCTAGGACCTATTTTCTAAGAACCCCTAGGGACCCTCTGAGGGTCTATGTGTGGGCAATAAATATGGGTCACTCCAGGTTGATTGACTGCTGTAAACCCACGTATTTAGGGTACTTTTGGCTATAGTAGGTCAGCCCTTGGCATATTATAGGGCTATATTTCATCTTATCAGTTATCAAACTTTATTTGTCACTAGTGGTGCAGTTAGCCTATTTAACCTTTGAACACACAGTTTACAAAGACTGTAACTCTGTAACTACAGCCTCATTGGTTGAGTGCTATCTTACACAATAGTATGGCAAATCCAACAGAATGGTGTTTTCATTCTCATATTTAAACAAATGTACTTAAACCTCTGAAATCTATGGTCACATGTCCTCTATAAAGTCAGAATACTTCAACGTTACCCATTTATTCAGCTTTAACTACATATATGATCCCTGATGATAAGAGCAGGCACCTCTTATTTTCAGTGCAACTTTGAAACTGTTGGGAAAAACATTAACATCATGTATTCCAGTGAAGTGCATGCTACACTACACTACAGCTACACTGTTGTATATCCAGATCATAATTCATCCTTTGAACTAATTTGGGCGTACATCTCACTCCATGTCAAGCACGGGCTGTAATGTCTTCCATCAGCTGAATGAATGAAAAGCGCGTAGTAGCTACACGTGATACTTGTTTCGTAACTTGGTAGAATATTTATGAGCGTGGGGGTAAGTTACGACGAAACTACGATGCGCGTCCTGATTGGTGAAAAAACTGCGACGTCTCATTTCTACTCACGCTTTTTATCGCGAGTCATCGCTTCACTTAAATTCTCGTCGAGACTTTCCATTCGGCCATTTCGTCGGTGCAGGCCATCAGCCGTAAAGGGTAGCGGGATATATCTTGTACTGGTAACCTGAAAGCAACACCAAGAAGAACCGCACAATGAGTGAGACGGCAATCTCTTTCGCCAAAGACTTTTTGGCCGGTGGCATCTCCGCTGCCATCTCCAAGACAGCCGTCGCTCCCATCGAGAGAGTCAAGCTTCTCCTTCAGGTAATTCTGTCTTCCGGTTGTAGCGCAGTGGCTAACCGGCTAGCCGCCTGAATAAGATTATAAGGGCATTGCTTGGTAGGCTAGTCAGGGTGGGTGTGTAACAACTGAAACACAGTGTATAGTCGTGTCGCCAGTCACGGATAGCTTTAAGTTTTGGCAGTCATATAAACGAAACCTTGAGGTCATCATTGAATAGTACATGACCTACAGGAGCTTTGCAGCTAATGTTAGCATCCCACGTTAACCTTACCCGGCCCAGCTAGCTAACAAAGGACAAACCCTGAGCTGACTTAGGAACACCGTGTTCTAATGTTGTGGACCCTTTAAAAGTTTGGTTTGCTGATTTTAATAGTTATATCGTAATAGATGCTATAACAACCACCTTACGCCCCCCGACTAATGGAAAATATTTGAGGACTGTATACATGTTACTGGAGCTAGCTATGAGATTGATTTGCTGAGGCCCGGCACAATTTTTTGGAGCCCAGTGAACTACTTTCGCTTTGTATGATTGTGACTAGCACCATTGCTTTAGAATAGTTTTTGTTGACAAGCTGACGACTTTGATAAATTAGTTTTTTAGTGTTTTTATTTTTATTATTGTTGTTGTAATATTATTATAGGCTTGTATTGTAAATGATTGATCTTCAGCTATTCCGAAATTGATCTTGGTCAACTTTCTTTTTTTAATAAGTTGTGTAAAGCTACAGGTTATAGGTTAGGACCAAGGTCACAACAATGACTGCTTGGCAAATAGTCACCTGTAAAACTGACTGGCATTAACCCTTTGCTAATTGCTCCTTCAGGTCCAGCACGCAAGTAAGCAGATCACCGCCGACAAGCAGTACAAAGGTATCATCGACTGCGTTGTCCGTATCCCTAAGGAGCAGGGAGTCCTATCCTTCTGGAGAGGTAACCTTGCCAATGTCATCAGATATTTCCCCACCCAAGCCCTCAACTTCGCCTTCAAGGACAAGTACAAGAAGATTTTCCTTGATGGTGTTGACAAGCGCACCCAGTTCTGGAGATACTTTGCCGGTAACTTGGCCTCTGGTGGAGCTGCTGGTGCCACCTCTCTGTGCTTCGTGTACCCCCTCGACTTTGCCCGTACCCGTCTGGCAGCTGATGTAGGAAAGGCTGGAGCCGGAAGGGAGTTCAATGGTTTGGGCGACTGTCTGGTGAAGATCTTCAAATCTGATGGTCTGCGGGGACTGTACCAGGGATTCAATGTGTCTGTGCAGGGTATCATCATCTACAGAGCTGCTTATTTCGGCATCTATGACACAGCTAAGGGTGGGTATCCTATTGTTGTATTTTTCTAAATGTCGTCTTCTTGACCTCTAAGCACCTGTGCCTCTCTTCTGCAGGTATGCTCCCAGACCCCAAGAACACCCACATATTGGTGAGCTGGATGATTGCACAGACTGTAACAGCTGTTGCTGGTCTTACTTCATACCCCTTTGACACTGTTCGAAGACGTATGATGATGCAGTCTGGACGTAAAGGAGGTCAGTTGCATATTTAACATGCACAAATATAGATTTGCTTATTGACACTTTTAATGCATTTGTGCATTGTCCTTTGTAACCGACTTATTTGTTTTTTTTATTTTTTCAGCTGACATCATGTACTCCGGCACAATTGACTGCTGGCGTAAGATTGCGCGTGACGAGGGTGGCAAGGCTTTCTTCAAGGGGGCTTGGTCCAACGTCCTCAGAGGCATGGGCGGCGCCTTCGTGCTGGTGTTGTATGATGAGCTGAAGAAGGTCATCTAATTCCTATTGTCACATCACTGTCTAAATTGGCTAAAATGTAATATCTTTCCATTTCTATGGACTCTACATTCTGCCTTATTTATGGGAACAACCTAAAGTATGTCACCACTAGTTGTGGGCAATGGCGGTTCGTTGGCTGTAAGTTGTGAATCTATGATTTTTAAAACGTTCCACACCCTCTGTACCAATGTCATTCCAATTAAAAAAAACTGATACCTCCTGTCATTTATTAGATTTGTATGGTTCCAACTTGAATAAATGTATTCTGGGAACAAAACTTAACTATTGATCTCAAGTCTCCTCTCAATGACACGAGAAGGGCGTTCACTGGCTAATGACATGCTCCAAGTGGATTACAACTCACTGCTAAATTTACCTGTGCTTATCTCCTTTAGTCTTATGTTAGTTTGCCCACGACACCTATCCCTGGTTAGGGCCCTGCCTGCATGGCTTTTGCATCTTGGAGAACCAGAGTGAACATGGGATGAGCAGATATGGCTGCCCCTTGTTCCAACCATTAAACTTAAGGGGCTTTTTACACTAACAATTATCTGCATAGTTGGATGGTCTGGATGTGCATTTTAAATGTGCTTGACTGATTTTTCTTTAGCACTCTGCAGTAGCTGCTATCTTTAACTTGGAACTCGTGTGCTGCCCTGGTTTTGCACCATTCTTGTCATAATTGGAATAAACTGGGAAGGACCCAACTAGTCACTCTTCTGAACCTTTTGTTGTCTAAGTGTATGTGTAAATAACTCTTTGCACAAGGTGTGACTCACTGTCAAATGAGGCTGAATTAAACATGAATTTTGAGATACTAAAGAAATCTGCAGACTTGAAGACCAGGAAGCTAAGCCTCAGTCCTGCAAAAAATAAGTTGTACACTAGAGGGCGCCAGTGTCTTTTCCTTAAATGAAACACGTGCCTGTCAGCAGTGTGAAAGGCACGTGCTAGTAGGTTTAATCATAACTGCGAGTAGCACCCACATCCCTGTGTAGTATCTTGACACAAGTTTACACCCTTCAGTTTATGGGGAAGTGGTTCGAAGAACTGTATATGGTTCAATGTCCAAGGGTTTTTGAATTGTTCAGAGGATAAAGACTCCAGACCAAGGTTATTCTACGTGATAGACACGTGCTGCGCGGACCTGTGAGCAGAATACGCCATAAATATAAAAAGAAAAAACATTAAAAAAAATAAAAATAAACTTGTCTATTCACATTTCTGAAATGCGCCATGTTATGAATTGCTGAAGTCTTTTTTGAATGAAGAAAATTACCTGCCCAAAATAGTTGATATAAAAGCTTTATTTTATCCCAGTGTCCATACATAATTTAACGTTAAACGTAATCTAATCAAAATCGTTTTTAGTGAGTTTTAAAATTTAATGTAGACCTATTTACTATTGTACAATTTATTTAGCGCATTAGTGCCTGTCTTTTTGTGCAGTTGACAAGTATGTTTCATAGCAGTTTGTCTACGCTGCTAAATGCATGCAACATAAAAGACTGTAAAATAAAGGAGACACCAGGCTTTCTGTGAAGTACAGGAAAGTACTAGTTTTATTCCTTCATAATCAAACTTCACAAACAGCTTGAACTTGTACAATACCTCAGAGAGTGAAAATTACAAAAAAAGTGCTGGTAACATTTACAAAAATCATCCTTACTTAGCAACAATCAGTTTATTCTTCCACACTTTTTTTAGTCTTTTGTATTAAGGCTTAATACTTCTGTATAAAGTATATGCAAGATAAGTCTTCACAGTTTTTCGAAAAAAGTCACAATATTATGTAACATAATGAAGCTTTTACGGCTATTTTCTTTATAATAACAAATACACATCACTGGTAAATATATGTGAAATACAGGGCTTATTGTAAAATGGCAAGTAATGATACTGTTTGCTGAGATAAATTGATTCCACACGCATTTATAGGAAAGTGTTGACATACCATTGCTATAATTGAACAAGAAGGAAAGAGAAAATGAAAAGCAGAAACACTCTGGAGATCGCCTCTAAACTTTGGCACATCCCATCAAACAACTTCACAAATATGTGACGCTTTTGGAAATGATCTTGTATGGAAGAAGAGCATCAGTGAAACATGCTGGGTAGTAAGGTGCTAAATCAGATATTATAATGCCAGCCTCTTTGCTCTCATGGCCAGACATGAATAAGGTGCATTTGTAAGACTAAAAGCATGTACTTTTGTTTAGAACAAAATGTGATAAAAACCAGATTTGAAAATTTTTTTTTACCAATAGTCTTGAGGCGACCTCGTATATTCACGCATTTCCATGAAGAGAGTGTCACTCTCCTGTAGGTGTCTTACTTATAACTGTGGTATGTGAAAGTAAAAGCTGTATTGTATGTAATCATGGTATGTGTTTTTTTATTTTTCTAAATCTTTTTAATTTTTTTTTTTATTACTGTTGAAATTGTGACAAACTTGATAAGGAGATGGGATTGAAAACTGAATGCAGAACTAAGCCAAGATATATTCACAAGATCCTCTAAGCTGCACTGGTTTACAGGTCAACAGATGAGAGCTCTAGCCCTAAAACTTACCAATTCACCCTCATGCATACTGTACGGTTAAAGTGACGCAACAAGCTTGCTTAAATAGTCCACATCACGAAAAGCAATTTGGTTTTTAGTGCAAACACAATTGGCTGGCTTCAGCTTCTCAATAATTACAAGCTCACCAAGGAGAGTACAAGAAGGCACATACTTATGCTTCCTCTAACACGCAACATATTTAGACAAACCGCAACATCTTTCAACAACACCACAAAGCTGTGAAAACAGGAAAGCTACTACATCCAGATAATGGTGAAATTTCACTGAATTATTGTCAAAATTTACACCAATGACAGACGGTCAAGAGTGACAGGTGTTACGTGACCTTGTGTGAAAATGGATGGAAACAGGTTTCTCGACCGATGGAGATGAGATAAAGGTGCATTTAGTTTGTTTTTTCCTCCAGATGATGTGTGTTTCATTATTAGACTTTTTAAAGCATCCTGGACAAGATGGAGAGGTGTGCGACAGTGGGCAGCTGGTTTGTATTTTGGTTTTTGGTGGTGTTACGCACAGTACGTGTGTATGTTTGCTGAAAGATGGAATTATGGCGACTATGTAATGAAGACAAAACGACAACGTGACCAATGGGAGTCTTCCCTCATGCATCCCAATGTCTTTCTGGTTTACAAGAGCGGCTTGATTTGTCCAAAACAACCACAAGGAGGAAACAACAGTTTTTTAATGTAATGCCCCTCAATATATTTTTGGACACTATTACTCAAGGGATAAGTGCTGGATAATATCAAAAACTGCTACGTACAATAACACACAAATGTGCATTTCTAAAAACCAATTCTGTACCTTTCAATACAAAATAAAATTAATCACCATTTACTCAGCATTCCCACTGTGGGCAGGCGATGGTCGGATGATATCGGTGAATTATATTGCTTTTTGAAGAACGAAGACCAAAATAAGTCTAGTGCAAATCTCTTTTCTGGTTTGAGAAGTGGCAGTTGATGCAAAAAGATAATTTTTTTTCTATTAGCAACAACCAGATGATTGGGATCAGTGGATTGCTGTCAAGTGGTATCCCTTTGTCAGTACAAAAATGATTAGAATATGCAAGAATTTGGAAGGGAAAATATTCCATTTATGGGTAACCCCTCAACGCAATTAACCAGCACAAAAGGAAAAAAAAAAATCCATTGTCTTCCAACTGCAGACTGGTGTTAGAGCGGCCATGTTTTTTTTTGTGCAGTTCTGTCCATCAAAAACATCTCTCAACTTGGAAAATGTTGTCAAATCTCCCTCCAGTCCAGTGTTTGACAAATTACATTACAAAACGTTCCTTGCACATTTTTCAAAACAGCAGTCAATACATTTCAAACAAGCTTGTCTCATAACAATAATAATATAATAATAATATAATAATAATAATAAAATACAAAGCAACTTGGAGCATAAATTATTCAAAAACAACCGACAACACATACTGCAGCATATATTTCAGGGTCTGCTTAGTTGTGATGTTAAAACTATACCGTTACTACGACAGCTCCACTTCCGCCAAGTTTTGAAAAGGGCAAGTGTTTTGCCAGGGTAATAATAAAAAATAGCAAGCTAACATAAGCAAAAAAATAAAATAAAACTAACAAAATATACACATCTCACAATTCAACTCAAGTGCATTTTACTTTACAAAAGCATCTACATACAAGATATGGCAGCAATAAGCTTGACAACAACCTACCAAAGGGACCAATATTGTCCAATGTGATTTTTATCCTATTTCCGGATACAAATTATACAGCAGATTAATCTACTCAGATCAACCTTAGAAATATTGTCAAATTCTGCCAAACATTTTACATTCACTTTGCAGTACTGTGCTGCTTTTATAAAAATAGATAAATCCATTTGACCATATTTGGACCTCATTGTAGTTTTCGGTTTAGTTTCCATTATTTTGCAAATTCAACTGTAGTGGATGGTAGTGGTGGCTGGCACTGATTAATGCTTTTGATCTGAGTTATTTTTTCCTTTTTCGAGACATGTTGTATATGATTCGTTCTTTTTTGGCTTCAGAAAAAACCTACAAATATGTGCAAACTTAAAATCTTGGTCCATCTCAAGTATATAAATGGCTAAATGCGTTCCAAGTTAAATTATAAATTTAGGGAGTTTAAAACACTAGGATATTTGACAAACTAAAAACACATAGGATAGGCTTACACTAAACATGTGCTAAAAGTGTAGAAAATTCAACTGATGTAACCTCATTTTTCCTGGAGCAATGCAATGTGTTTTTTCTTTATCCGATTAATATTCTATTTTTGCTGCATTTCTTATAAAAAATCTATTTTGGTCTACAACAGGCAAGATATAAAACAACCAATAGTGATCAAGTGACAACACATGGATAGACTTTGACAAGCACCCTGCATGATGAAAAACTCACCGGACTAAAGAGCCTCTAGCCTGATCACAACAAGAGCAAAACTGTCCTCCGGAAAACTGAAAACATCTGCACTTTCTTTGGTTTGGGAGCAAAAACATTGTCTAAAACACTTTTGTCCACTGTCTACACATTACTATGGCCCCATTCACTCCGACTGCTCTGATGTGCCTGCCTAAACAGCACCAAGAATACCAGCCCGCCTAGAGCTCAGCCCCGAGACCCTCTCATGAGAAGAAAATCCATTTCCACTGCATTGTAAACTATGCAATAATAGACAATGCACGCTTTCAAATCCACAAAAGATGTACAATTAAATGCTGGACAATTGTATCTTTTTCTTTTCAAATGTGGAAAAAAGTATATTGCCAGACAAGAAGCTGGAATGTTCTGGGCAGGAATGCATGTGTTTTTACAATACAGGGCGTAGGACTGAGCTGAGAAGACGGTGGCAATAGTAGACTACTGTAGGTGTAAAATCTTGAATGGCAGAAATACACCTCAAAAACATACGAAACAAAAGCCTTCAAATAAAGTAGCAGAGAAAGAAAAGTTGTACAGACATGACTGCAGAGAAGTTACCAGCAAATATAAGAACTGCATGTTTTGAGAAAGCGACGTCACACTATATCATAGACTATGTTATGTTATAGCTTAGATAGCTGCGTAAAGCTCATTGAGAACTACAATCTGGCTGTGTGGAGTGATGTGGAGACTGATGCTGTTGTGTTTTACAGTAGGATGAAAGGGACTCGCTATATCACCTTGCCTATACTTTCAATGTATTCTATTAGGTCTATATGAAACAAAATGGCTGAAGAGTGTGTCTTTGAAAATCATAGCTCTTTTCTCCTATTGGTTGAAAGTATGAAAAGTGTGGAGGATTGGAAAAGTCAAAATTAATAAACAATAAAAGCAAATTCTAGTGTTTATTTTATTTTATTCTTTTTTTTTTTTTTTTTTTTTTTACCCCAGTTTGCGGTTATTTGCTATTGTTTTAATTAAAAATAAATTTGGCAGAAAACAGTGGCTGGAGAAGGTGAAGGCTGCAGCTCTAGTAATTGGTCCGCAGGGGATGTTTTAATAAGCCAATCGCAAAGCCTTTTATCTCAGTCATTTCTGAAACCACCCAAACTGTGTGGCTATTTCTCCACCATATTCTCCAATCTTTTCAAGTCCCAATAAACCAATCACTTAAGTCCCTCTGTGCACAACATTTCTGTGGCATTCATTTATCGCTCGCCAAAATGTCTTCCAAATAATTTTGGGAGAAAAATAATAATGACTTTTTTCTTGCACTAGGCTTGTCTTTTACAAATCCCATAAGGATAAAAATGGAACAGAAATTAAAAAGAAGCTGTCAATCATATGAAAATATATGAATTGTTGGGGGGAGGAGGCCAGTGGCTTGCATGTGGAGAGGTTTACTACAAAGGTCAAGAGGTCATCCAAGGACCAATCAGAACCTGTTACTGCAGCAGAAAAACCTTCCCGTTACAGTAGGAACCAGTGGAGCCGCTGACATCACTTGTTGCCATGCAAACTTGGAAATATTCATTCCCAAAAATATACTGGATTTTTGCCAGGCAGTGTGTGTGTATTACAGGCGATGGATGTGTTTGGCTCCCTCTGGTGGTCAAAAAGCGCCACTGACTCTTCCTCCCCCTCGTAGATACAGTACAGTACAGTATATGGCTTCTTTGCGGATTGAAATAAAATGGAATTTGTAAGAGACCAGCCAACAATGAGACATGACTTTTAAAATCCTCCAGTTTGTATAGTAGACATAAACTTGTATGAATATATCCTCTGAATATTTTAAAGGGTTCTAAGGGGATCGTGACCAGCAGGTTTGTAGTATAGTAGTATAAATATTACCATCTGTATCTGTATAGCTGTGCAATGTAGGAGAGAAAAACTATGACTCCTGTTATAGTTGCTGTAATATGTACTGATAGGCACTTGATAGGCATATTCCCTATATCCCAAAAGGTATTGTATACTCTCAAACTATCTGTAATCTTTCTGTGTGGACACCATGACTTAAATATATATCTGTATTCACTATAATGCGTAGTATTGTAGAAGGACAAAGATGCAGTGAACTGTATTTCAAAGTAAAAGATGTATATGCAGACAGGTATAGAAGGACGTTTCTCTAAATAAAATGTTCCAACATGCCCCTAAACCCTTTTTACTGTTTTTTTTTTTTTCCATTTCCTTGTTTTGTTATGTATATTATGCATATATTATAGTACACTGTGAAAATATTACTATCCAGTTGCGTGAAGCTATGTATAAACAACACCACTATTATCACCAGAAATAAAAAAAGAAGCAGGAAATAAAATATGAATTAAACATACGGCAAGCAGGACAACATTGTATTGTAGACCCTGTGTTTCTACGCTAAGATAAACAGAACAGTAATATATTGGAGACACATTACAAACAGCTGCAGGCTCAAGGCTATTATCTACTCAATATGTATTTTGTTCTGGAAAAATATGGTACAGTTTGCAAACATAAACTATTTTTTCGTCAAACTAACAACTAGAAGAAGCACGATTAAAGAGTATTTTCTGGATTTTTTTTTTTTTTTTTTTTTTTTTTTTTTTTTTTTGCAATATGCAAAAAGATGACCACAACAAATAGCTGAAGCAGAAAGAGATAATATTATATGGAGAGTGTGATGCCAAAAGAAAAGGATTCATGGACAAAGCCTGGGATTTTTTTTTGCTATAGCACAGTTTTGACACTAGACAAGAGTTCCTCCCCTACACTTTCGAAAGCCCGCTCCGCTATCAAAAACATCACTATGATACAACATGACAAGCGGACAACTTATTAACATTCGTCCGGATCAAATTGGCTACTTTTGATAATCTGACACAAAAAAAAACCAAAAAAAACCAAAACATGTGGTACAATTGATAGTAGTGAAAGTTGGAAATTATAAATAACGACACTGAGCTACTTAACGTACTACTGTATTTAGACCAATGATACAACAAAGCTGGTTGAACTATAGCTACAGTCAATAGTGCATTTTGGATATATGTGTTCACACAAAAAAATATGCAAAAAAGTTACGGTGCCATGAAGGAATGCTAAGTAACACACTGAAAAATTCTCTGCCTTTGCAATTTTTTTCCCCGTTTTTTTGATGGTTTTGGCAGTGTTAAACTTGAAACAGACAACTTCAATGAGCTGTGTGCCAGAAAAAACGTGTGGCAATACTGTTGGAAAGAGAGATTTCGGCAGTTGCTTATAGTATAATCTATTTAGTGCATTGTCTGTTAAGGCAAGAGATTCACCCTCCACGTGCTGTGTAGAGACAAATATAGCACTACTACTAGCATGCAGCAATATCACCGTCCTGGCAACAGCTACAACAAGAACCATACACTTTTTTAGGTTTATATGCAGACCAGAGAGGACAGGCCCAATCAAATGTTCAACAATGTGCTACTTTTTATACAGTGGACCACCCCACTGTTCCCTTACACACATACAGTCTATAGTAGCAGTTGGTCGACCTCAGCACAAGTGTCCCAGGCGATTTAGGAGCCCGTGGAAAAGGTTTTGGGGAGCTGCTTCTCATATGAGTACTATGTAGTACCTGTGCTGCATATAGCAACGGAAGCCCTACAGTTGAGATACACCACTTCAACAGTTTGATTAGGCTGACGACACACGGACACTCACACACAAACACTAAGGACTGTGCACAAAGGGACAGATACTGAAGAAGCTGCATTCCTCCAACACTACAGAGGTCTAGACACACAACTGTATGTGACACACATATACTATAAGTATTATTTATATCATTAGGATAAGCTCCTCCCACTGAGCTGACTCACGTAGCATTTGAACTGTTGTTTGGATTGGGTGTTTTCAAAAGAAAATCAGTTTTTTTTTTAAATATAGCAAAAAGTTTATAGGGAAGTGATGCCATAAAAACTAAATCTGCACAATTATGAGCACAAATTAACGGTAAAATCAAATGCTTGCATTATAACAATAAGATATACTGTAGGTAACTGCAAGCCCTAAATAAAGAACTGTCAAGAGTCTTGGAGAAGTCTACAACCAATGTTGAATGAACAAAAGTTGAACAAATATTTTCTAAAACTACATCTTTGTTACAGTAGTGCACTTATTGGTTTAAGCAGTGCAACATATATGCAAGAAAATAATGCAGTCCACTTAAATGTTTTTTTTTCCTTTTGAAATTGAATAATAGAAAATCATATACGCCCATTCAAAGAAAATAATTCAATTTTAAGCACAGGCATTTCAATAAAATGTGCAAAGGAGCACTTTTTTCGGACTGTGCGGCAGTCTTTTCAAGACCACCTTATGCTGATAGTTATTTTTAAACAATACAACTGAGGAAGGGTTCACTCACATAATAGAGCTCCTCCTTTGCAGTTGCATGTGTGTGTTTGTGTGTGTCCTAACTGGAGAAGAGACGATACAAAATGATTATCACAAAAGCTTTAGATGATGTCATGCATGAACACATTTAATGTCCAGTCTACTCTGCACATGCTGTGACTTGGCTGTAGAAAACAGGAATGTATACAACTGTCTAATGTCTACACCGTGTGGTATTTCAGAAACAAAGCTACTTGTTTTCCTTTGCGCCTCTAATTCCTCTCACAACGTCGCAGGCCATTTGAGCCTCAGGGAGAGCCAATCCATCAGGCGCAATTAGCTGCCAGCTGCTAAAATGGCTCTGTGATCGTAATGAACAGGTTATACAGCGACGCCAGGATCACGGTGGCATTTATTTTCAATTCAAATTTGATTCAAATTGAAGTAGTCCCTCTTTAACACCATTTGAATCTACAAGTAGCCTATCCCCCTCCTTTTCTATATCATCAGATTATCAAATCAAAACAATGGAGCTGAGTCCAAAGCAACACTTTTAGAAGAGTTGTTTTTCTCTACATCCTATAACAGTCAGGTGCAAGTGAAGAGCAGCAGTTATGAAGGAGAATCGCATATTTGAGCCTGCCATAACTGTGGATGGAAAAGGCTAACATCAGTAAAACTATTTGTCTTTTTCTCATTCTAAAATGGAAGAGGTCTAGCCTTAACAGTCTTTTAAGATATTAGTGGCAGTGTATGCAATGAGTTCAACTTCAAACCTCAGACAAAAATAATTCTTGCTCAAATATTCATCTTCACACCTCAATTTAGTAAACAAAAGCATCAAATGCATGGAGAACAATTATAAAGAGAAGTGTCGCCTCCCCCTGACACTTCAGTAAGATGACTGTTAGTACTGTTCAAAAGTTGCATTGTAATCCCTTAATAACATGGGAATACATTAAACCAGTGTCAAATTAACTACTCTGATTTTATTTGACAGAAGGCAATCTTGTGACCATCAGTATTTTAAGAGGGAATAATAACTCCACCCACAATTCTGCTTATTGTTGTTGTAAATGGTACCACAGTAAGCTTGGACACTGAGTCTCCAAACTGGTCAGTATGGGGTTTTTCTGCTGCCGTGAGTTTGACTTCAGGCAGCTCTCTCTCTCACACATACACACACACACACACACACACACAGAGGACGCGCACAGCACACCGCACACTCACCCACACTACAGTGTGTCTGTGTGTCTGTGATCACTCTAGGCCTTTCGGTAGTGTTCAACACATAAATCAGGGTTTTAGGAAAGCATACATTTAGAGGCCTGTAGTTAGGATCCATCCAGTAGATCAATATCAAACTACTAAGCCTTAAGGCCACCATCAATTTTTTTCTTTTAGAATAACAGAAAAAAAAATCGGGAAACTTAATGTGCCAGTGTCTATACTCATTATTCTTCATACATCAAAATAAGAAAAGGAAAATCTAGTGCCATTTATTTGTCATTCTTTCTGAAAAAGTTTATCTATTTGTACTTATCCATCAGGGACATGCTTTCGCATGTGGTCATTGAAGTTTTCAATTTGCTCGAACTTGGCAGGGCAGACGGAGCACACATAGGTGGTCCCTTCTTGGCAGCTGGCCTCAGCAGCAACGCCCACGCCCGTCCCCACGCCTGTGCCCACGCCTGCTCCTCCTCCCACGGGCATGGCCAGGGCCACCACGCCCGCCCCAGGCTCGGGAACTGCCATGGGCATGGGAATGGACACGGGCCCTGGCGTCCCGCCCGCCTCCGCCATGCCCATCCCCATCACCGAGCCTCCGGCGCAGTGCAGGGCCATGTGGCGCTCCAGGAGCGTTTTGTGTGAGAATTTCTTCTTACAGATGTAGCACTCGTAGGACTTCTCTCCGCGGTGCAGGCGCATGTGCACGTTGAGTGAGCTCTTCTGGGTGAAGCGCTTGTTGCAGATGCTGCACTGGTAGGCGCGCACCCCTGTGTGTGTCACCATGTGTTTGATTAGGTAATCCTTCAGGGAGAACGAGCGCCAGCAGATGCTGCACTGATGGGGCTTCTCACCTGGAGTAAACAAGGACACAGCGTTAAGGCCGGATAGAGGACACTGCAAAGGGACAATTAGGACCAAAGTGCATTTGTCAAATCTCTGTGTTCATGGTTCTCCTCTCTGAGTTCACTTATAAAATAACCTTGTGCGTTTACCGTAAACGAGACCAGAAACACACACCAATACAAAGTAGATCCCAAATGGATATTGTCTTTGCTTTATTCACGTCCAACTCAACAATGTGAGCTTTTGTTTTAGTGTGTGAGCAGTACATTTGGATACAAAGGTGTGAGTGAGAACACAGGTGTGTTATTCTAATGATCACAGTCAGACATATGTACCATCCAGTAGAGATTTGGTTCAAGGCAAATGGTAAAGCGACTGGAGGCCTGCCAGTGGCGTTGGCGCCACACAAACCATGTAACAGCTTTAACTGTAAACTTTTGCAGTAACACGCAGCCTGCAGCCAAACGTGTTACTTTGCCATCGGAGGCGCTCACCTCGGGCTAGAATTATTTAAACCTGTGTCATCTTGTTACACCAGAAGATCTGTTAAGTCCTGTGCTAAAGAAGTGTTTTTCCTTTCTGTTAAAGCAAGCCACGATTAAATATGAAATATTTATTTTATTAAAACAGAATATCTGAATGCTTTTTACTGTCACCACATGGCAAGTGCTACATCATTAATGTCTCACACAGTGTGTCTGTGCTAATAACTTAATATGTGAAATAACACTCGCATGTGATTCTTGGAGTGAGCTGTGGTCTTCATTATTTAATTTACATTTTTTTGGTGAACAATTTGCTATTTCCCATTGAAATAAAGATATTGATTAATAGTTTGTCAGATTTATATGATACATTATTTATATTATATATTATTTGATTTCGATGTCCTTTCAAACTATTTCCTGGAGTACTCCAGAGAACAAATGTTCACTAACTTCTTACTTCAGATCATGGCTTCTTGTAAAAAGTGTGATGAGATTTCTAATTAAGTGTAGAATAGCTGTAATAATTAAATGTAGTTTTGAAGAGTCAGTGGGTTTTATATGAATAATAATGACTGCTTGAATAGGCACTGATGTGAGTGTGTTGTATCTAATTTATTCTCTCTTAAAATATCTGACACTATGGACTGCTCCAACTCAAGAAATAACAGAAATACTAAAACTAACTAAAACTAAAAATATAAAAACAAAACATTTTCAGTATTTTAGGAATTTATAATATTTTGGTAGATCTGAGCTGTGCATTGCAATATTCCTATGTTCTTCACATTTGCAATTAAAGACAGCATTTTTAAAATTATATTAAAAATGTGAAACACTTATGAATTATGATGTCTGGATGGGACTACACATTTACAGTAACATTTTCAACTTTTTTCACCATGCTCTCACCTTGTAGCGTGAACACAATCATCCAAAATTAACTTTGAAATAATAACTATTACGACTTGTGGCACAGGTCTGAATTTTGATATGCCACCTGAGACATGTTAAAAGGAGTGTTATCACGCCTCACAAAGTTTCACTTTACCGTTTTAATTAATTTGAAATTTTTAATTAACTGTTTCAGAGAAAGTACGAGAAGTTTGACTTTTCCAATATAAAGAATAAAACATACAGGTGATGTAACTAGCAACATCTACAATTTTGTACCCTAGGCAGATGTGCCTAATGTGTGTATCTATTGTTACACACTACCGTAGTGTACCTAATGTTAACTACTACAGTAATGTACCTACTGTTAAATACTACATTAATGTACCTAATGTTAAACACTATAGAAGTGTACCTAATTTTAAACATTACAGTAGTGCTAAAATAAAAAGGAAGCCATTAACACTAAAAGTGAGTAAAAATACTAGACTCACCGGTGTGGACAAACATGTGTTTGACGTAGTTCTGTTTGGCAGTAAAGGTCTTACTGCACAGAGTGCATTCGTAGGGCTTCTTCTCCCCCTGAGTCAGGCCTGCGCCCGTCGGCTGCTGCACAGGTGACTGTGGGACGGGCAGAGGGTTTGAGAATGAAGGCATGGAGGGTGGCTGCACTCCCACAAACGGGGGCTGCTGCTGACTGGACAGGTACAGGAAAGGCTTGCTGTTGCTGGGCGACTGAGTGGGGAAGAGAGTAGGCAGGAAGGTGCTGCCAGCGCCCATGACTTGGGGGTTGCTGGTCACATTTAGCGGCATCCTCAGGTTGCTGGTGTAGTGTGGGGCACTTGGCAGGGGGTGAGACATGACAGAATTTGGCAGGGGTTGCATCATGCTACTGTCAGTAGTGCTGTGGGACGTGTCTATGTCCTCCATGTCCTGGGCCTGTTCTGGGGACGAGTCATTGACCTCTATCTGCACAGAGGGGCCGTCCGAGTGCTGTGACTCTCCTGCCGCCTCTCGGCTATAGCCTGACATGTAGCCCGGCTGCTGCTCCGCCGCCTCCGGCTCATTGCTCAGAGTGGAGCTCACCCCAGAATCGAAGCTTTCTCCTTTGGACTCGTTCTCCGCCGTGTGGTCCCCATCCTCCTGACACACAGACAGGGGCTCATAGCAGCCATACTCATCCACATCCTCCTGCTTAATCTGCACTCGGATAGGTCTGGGCTGTTTGCGACAGTGGGTGGTAGACTCAGGGAAGCGGTCCTGATGTGAACGCTCCTGCAGACGGTTCATCCAGGGGGGGTCCTGGGCATGTTGGTCTTTGTGAGGCCCCACAGTTGGGTCGTAGCTGGACAGAGAGCTGATGTAGTGGGGGCGGTCCTGTTTGCCGTTCAGATGGGGCAGATTGGTGTAGCTGTAAAGCGATGTGATGGTGCGCTCCACATTTTGCTGTGATGATGTTTGCATATAGCTGGATTCAGCATCACTGCTGGGTCCTGAGGTGCCAGACTCAGGGGTCCCTCGGGGGGTGTCCTGTCCCGAGTCTCCGGGAATCACAGGGAAGCCCCCTGGCCCGGCCAGGCCCACGTTCTGGGACACGATGCGCGTGCACTCATCGATGACTGTCTTGATCTGGAGGATGCTGGCGGCGGTGAGGATCTGCAAGGCCTCAGATTGAGAGACACGCAGGATCCCACTGTACATAAAGTCTATGAGCTTCTGGATGGACTGTACGGAGACCACCGACGGAATCTCGATGTCGCTGTAGCCCAACAGCAGTTTGTCTTGAAAGAAGGGGCTCCCAGCAGCCAGCACGCAGCGGTGAGCTCGCAGCATACTTCCATGGATTCGAACTGTCACGTCACAGAAGTGCCCACGATTGCGTTGCTCATTGAGGGTCTCGAGAACAGAGTTACTGAAGTTGTGAAGATTGATGTTATGAATGCGCTCGGTCATCCCCTTGCAACTGAGGTCACCTGCAGCAGTAAAACACACACCTCACTATTAGCAATGGATAAATATTGATATGCTAAGTATTATAAACAAGGTATCAATAATAATCAGTCAGTTTTTCATACATTGAGAACTTTACTCTGTAATCTAATTTTAAAAATATTTCCTTTAGCTGTATATATTTGCATTTTTCACATATGTAACATTGGCTTTCTTTAGGGTTACTGTCTTTCAGTTGTTGACTTGCTGTAAACAGGACAGTGGCAGTGTCCCGGTGCAGTGGGAATGCTGGTTTTGGCGAGATTCCCTACTCCACCATTAGATGGAGCAGTGGGCTCACAGGACATGGGCCTCTTTTGTGTTAGCCATGTGTTCACTCTGATGGCGCTCTGTCTATAAGACTGCACTGTGACCTCGCTATTCCATAAGTTACAACTTATTTATTTTAGGTCTGAAACAAAATGGATCAAAACTGAATTACTTTTACACTTGTTAAGTACATATATATAAAACATATTCTTATTATGACATCTAAAATATGTTGATTTTGCTGTCGAAGTTATGCAACTTTTTTTTATAAATACATTTAAGAATTGAATAATTGTTCTCTTCTTTAAAGAAGGTAAACTGGTGTAAAATATTTTGTAACCATTGCTTTCCTCAGTGACAGTAACATATAAAGTCTATTTTTAAACCCTGTTTATGATGAAATCTCATGCAATCCATTCGAAGTAGTCCAACTTTACATACCATAGGCAATGTAAATTGTATTAGACTGTTTTGCAAATTCGTAATAGTTTAACAAAATGTAGTAACAGAAATATACATGTAAGTGGTAGATTTTTTGGTTTAATTGTATGAATGTGTGGAGTGGTCCAGCGTGGAAGTTGCCCAGGAGCGTACTCACAGTCCGATGCCGTGGTGAGTGCTTGGAGTTGTAGCTGGTGATGGGGGTGCTGCGGGTCAGGCGTCAGGTTTGCTGCTGGTGAGTGAGACGACTTCAGAGGCCGGCGCTGCTCGCTCTACTGTCACTGCACTCGGCCCAAATCATGTGCCACGCTTTTTGGAGGGAAGAGAGAGAGGGAGAAAAAAGACAAAGACAAATCTTAATAGCACACACACACACAGACTCAATGTTATTGCCACTCCCTTAATGAACCCGATCACGGTAGCACCAGATATCTACCCCGCAACACGCTGCAACAGATGCGTGAAGAAGAGGAGTTTTTTACACACAGACCAATGGCGGGCCTGTGCACACATGACCTCCAATTACAAAGCAAGGGTGGAAATAAGATTGTTTTTATGGTTTAGGGTTGTTCATTGGTTATCTCTCTGAACGGGCAGTAAAACCACGCCCGTCTAAATAAATTACTTTTAATTCTAACTTTAAAAAATCACACGATTCCAAATTTTGGCTAAAACAAAATTTTGTGCCAAAGTGCTGCATTCTTCAAATTGCAATTTGCTCGAGAGATAATAGAATTTCTAACACACAAGTCATTCATTAATACACAAGAAAGGCATTGAATAACATCAAGCATGTGACAGGCCGATTTTGGTGAGTTATCTTTTTTATACTATACCCGTCCAAACACTGGGAAAGAAATTGACCTCGCAGCTGGGGACAAAATGATGTAAACCACATTAAAAGTCTCATGGTATCATTTAAGGTCATGCTCCCTGAAGAAGCCATGCAAAACGCCCTTGTGCTATTCAGAAATGATTCCACTCTCATTAGTTGCATGCTCTTGGTAATGCCTCCTTTTGGCATGGTAACTATCAATGTTGGTATAAAAGTATTCTAAGAAAAAAAGTTATATCAGGTTTTAATTTTCGTAATCCTGATGTTATAGAAAAGGCCATCTTGTCACTCTTAACCTGCATTTCCACCTAACTGTTAGAGAAATTCCATTTGTGTGCTATACTAACACTAAATACTAGACTAGACAATCTGCCAAATCAAAACTCAGCCACGTTTAGGGATCTGACCAGACCTGCACCAAATTGTTGGCACATACTACTCTTCTTAGTCAAACAGCATAACTCAAAGGTCACCAAAATACATACTACAGGTCTTTCAGGTGAAGTTTTAAATGGTGCATATGAAAGAATTTAGTGCCACTGCCAAATTGCCAAGAGCTATTTAATTCTATATTTGTCAGTACTTCCTGGAAGGACAAGACAACATTTAATATTCCTGTACATATTACACTTCACGAGTAAATAAATTGTAATACTTGTAAGGTCTTTGGACACTATGGTGAAAAAAATTCAAATGTCCAGTCTGTACTTTTGCATGTTATTAACAATGACAAAGCAAATGAAACTGGCCACTGAGTTACACAATTGTATAGTGAGTGTGTTGACAATAAACGTAATCATACGTACTGTCACCAGACACCTCATTATATAACCAGTGCTTTTATATAAGCTCAAATACTCTGGCCAAGCAGCCACCATTTTGGACTTTCCAAGTTAAAGCAGTAGGCCTATAAGCTGACTAAAAATATTGTGGAAGGCTAAGGCTAAGAGCTTTGACCCTTGATATAACAAAACTATTAGTGCCTATAAAGTACACCTGCAATAAACTTGGATATTTTAGTTGTATTGGTATTTTTGTAATTCCCCAAAACAAGTTTTCATATTTTATAATGTGGCAAAAGTAGTTCTAAGACCGCCAACTATAATTAGACTCTCACACATTTATTTTCAATATTTTTAATTAAACTGTAAATCATTAAATCTTTTAAAATCTTGATTTTTTTTTCATCGGGTGAACAACATTAGCATTGGAACATCCATGAAGGAATAGCAGAAAATTATTTTTTGTAAGGTTACCGGACTTTTCATATTTGATTTGATTCAAATCGAAAAAAAAGATGCACAGCTCTTTTATTTTTTAATGTAGCTACGGAAATGTGGCTGGAGCATTTTAATAACATATATGGAGTTATAGAGATGTAATTTCCAGGTGTCAATCAAAGGCATACAGGATGTTGTAGATCTGAAAGTGGCTACAGTTTTCGTTCTTGCATTTTGTCTACGGACCACGTTTCCTCGTTTATTGCAAAAACTGCTTTTGTTTTCTTGTAGTGTTTATGACAAATGATGATTCAGTTCTGACAAGTGAAAGCGTGCAAAGACAGATCATGCAGCGATGAGACGGGCCGTTCTTTAGAAAAATACTTTTCTATTATTCACATACGATTCAGGACTAAACACATTTGCAACTAGATCACATTTCCTGCTCCAGGTCAAAAGCTAAAATAAGACATTTCTGAACTCTCTCCCAAATTGTATCCAGAGTGTATTTTTTAGACAAACTCTAAAAACTCTTCACAAACCAATACAGCAGAATACATTTAAAACAAACATATTCAGTAGAAGAGAGGTAAAATTCCTGTTGTATTAGGAGAGCACAGACACATTTGCCAAAACGCTTGAATCCACCAGCATGGCAAATATTTGACCTTTTGCTGTTTTCTGTGTGCTGCAGGGATGGCTCGTGATGTAATTGAGGCTGGTGCCTTAGGCCTTACAGCGAGCTGTGTCTGGGACAATGCAGACATATATGCACCTGCCCGAGGGGTAACGTGAGGTGAGCTCTGGCACAAAGGACCAGGCCAAGACAAGCGGGCTCCGGTGGCCCAGACTGCCACTCACCACAGTGATTCCATTTTAGCCGTGACACAGTGGGTGAGCAGCAGCCAGCGCCTACCTGCAGTGAATTCTAATCAGCCCAGGGGTCTGCCTCCCCCTCCCTCTCTCCCTCCTGTACCCTGCCTCGGACTAAAGGGGCTGATGATCCTTCAAAATTAATTAGGTTCTTGTAAGAGGCGGCCATTTTCTTTCACTTATTGCTCCAACTAAAACAAATTTTAAATCAAACTACATTCAGGGTGTGTGTTTTTCCTTGCAGTATTGATCTCCTTGTCCGTGCCTTTCTTTCTACCTGCTTCCTGTTTCATCACCTCTTTCCCCATCTTACCTCCCATCTGTCTGTCTGTCTGTCTGGCCCCCTCCACCCCCCCACCCCTCCACCACCCCTGTCTCCTTGCACCTCCCCTCCTCCCACCTCCTCCCCTCTCCTCCTCCTCCTGCTCCAGCTCTGCGTCTGCCTCTGTGGAGTTCGCTGTCAATAAATCCCCAGAGGTCAGTTTGTCTGCTGGAAATCAGACACAATGCTTCAGACCGCCAGTGCAATGCATGCTCTGCTGCCGCCGCCACAACAAAGACAGTGAGGGAGGGGTCTAAGGAGGAGAGGGAGGGGGAGAGGGGGTGTTGTACCAAAAAAAAAAAAAAAAAAGAGGAGGGGAGAAAAATGAAGACGCTGGGGGAACACAGGCAGAGCAACTTCAGCACGTAGACTCCAGGTTAATCAGACGCATGTATTAGGTGACGAGATGGTGAAATATGCCACATCGAATAGAACATTAGTTAATCAAGTGTGGTATGGGGGTAAGGGGGGGTGTATATATGGGGGCATGGGGGATTGAGACAGCACATAAGAGGCGTGCTTATGAAAGAAACAGCCATGTGAATAATATACATCTTGAATATGCAAATAGTGCTTACAATGCTCAGTGCAAGCATATACCGTAGGCCCGGACTCGATTTGAATGTGAGACAAAAGGGGCCACGGGGCAATGGCATAAGCTCAAGTCCATGCAAGTGCATACAGTATGTTGATGAAGACGCACACTGTTTTGTATAGCACCTAATTCATGGTAATTTATGAGTTTGTTTGAAACCTCTGCCTCTTAACGATCACTGTCCAACGCTGTAATTATTAATTTCAATCATCCATTTAGCGCCAATTGCATTAGCATATAAACTAGCAGAAATGATGCTTTAATGGTATGGTTCAGCTATGAGTACCAATATCATTTATTATGCTTTGGTAATGTATAGCTTTGGAAGATCTGACAAGGTGCTGTGTAACACTTCCAGCTGAATTAACTTAAAAAATAATGTGTTAAGAGTTTGTTTCTCTGTTTTTGTCACAATTAAAAAATTGTGAACAGATCAGTCTTGATGACAATCCGATGATGGAATTCAAAGTTATGTGAAGTGACACATCTCCTGTTGCATATAAGTGTTTGCCTATAATGTTGTGAAGCAATTAACAGGTAATGTAACTAATGCACCTAAATGACACACAGTTAGCAGTTAGCGGCAGAAGACTGCGCTCCTGCTCAGAACGGCAGATTTAATTGATTTGCTTTCATGGCAGTCGCTGAAAATCATCAACAAGCAAACGTAGGCTGTTGACAAGTTGTGCCAAGATTTTCACTTTGCTTGTGATGGATTTTTTTCCCCCTACAAGCCTCCTTCTTCTCCATCGTGGAACAAGGAAGCAAACATTTGTAAAATAGTCTATAAGATGACTTAAGTACGAGGTGTTACTGAACTTTGAACAAGTTTAAAAACTATCTCAAGGATCTTCCACAGGCTCCCTGAAGATACTTGAATTTCAACATTTAGAACATTTACAATAGGATGCTCGAGCGGTTTGCGCGTGAGGTGGAGAGCAACTAGTTACACTGCTTTGAACAAAATGTACTTGTAAGATTTCATGAAACACATTTTTGACTTTGGTGTGTATTTGAATCAAAATGTTACTTTTTCTTGGTTATATTTGACTACATGTGGTACTTTCATCTTTCACCTCCGCTTCCACAGTCAATTCAAACCACTTTTTTTATTTTCTCTGTTTTTTTCCCTTCCTTTTTCTTTCTCATGATTGCCACATATCTCTTGCCTCCCAGTGATTTACTCACTTTAGGTTAGGTGTTGTGCTGTATGCCTTTCTGATGATATATTACACTGTTAAGACAAGGAAATTTCTTTTGAAACATTTGTCTTTTGGTCCAGTATGCATTCATTTTTAGATTTACTTTAACACCACATCACACATAAAACATATCTGACCCAGGTCAGAGCAGTCATAGTGTGTGGTAGCCTTTGTTGTGGGCAATAGTTGTAGTAGTGGCAATCATGGTTGTAGTAATAATATTAGAGTCATTTATAGTGTTGTAGTAGTAGCAGTCATGGGG